AGCGCGTCCTTGAGGTCCTGAAGTCACGTGACAGGGGGCCTTTTGGGTGGGCCGCCAAGTAGCTAACGTGGTCCAACGCACGTTAACACTTGTTTTTTTTTTTGTTTTGTTTTGTTTTTTTGAACGGGGTACCCTTTCACACCAACACCACCACAAAATACAGTCTACCAGTGACCGCTGTAACACCACACGGTCAGATCACAGCGAGTACTGACCTTTCGTTAGCTCTTGAGGTCGCATCTGAAAGCGACCTGTTTTTGACACTTAACACGTCACGTTTTAACGATTACAGACGTCGTGATAAAATAGCTGACAAACGTTAAACAAAACGGCACGTTTGTGCAAACTAAATTATTCTCTAGCTGTGGTTGTTGTAAATATGCGAAAACTGCTCGCCTACCTGCATAAAAATACGAGACAAAGAGACAAACACGGTCGCTAACCGCTAACGCTAGCTTCCTGCATTCCGTAGCAACGCAGCTAACAAACTGACAGTTTTCACCGTAAAAAACTAAGACTATTCACGATTTCGGTCTTACTTACAGCGGGGTGGCTTCTAAGTTGCCGTGCAACAGTACCCAGCATCGTTGCGGATCGAGATGATTTAAATCTCCCAAACTGTACCCAGCTAACTGGATTAAGTCGCGGCCTCAGGAATCGGACTCGGTTTTATAGTAGTAGCGCTTCACCGTCACCAGATAAGGAGAGAAAACAACACAGACACTCACTCCGCCTGTCTCCACAAACTACCTCCAATATAAGGGTTTATCTGTTTCGGCAGCTTTTAGCAGGCGTATTTTGCTTTGGACTATGTTTCATCACGTTACAGACATATTTTTAACGTTAACGTTGATATATCTACGTTGTAAAAGTTGCCTGAAACGTTTGTTTGGGTAACTTCCAAACGGCAGTGCTCTGGACAGCCATCTCGGTGAGCGTCCATGGACTCAGTTAATCATAGTTTTGAAGGATTTCTTGTGTTTTCTAAGAAGGAAAGTGAATCACTGTTTCAGTTGTCTTATGGCTTTATTTTTGTGTTTCTTGTCTGTTTTTTACTTAAGTCTATTTTTTCTTCTGTAAATCAGACACAGCTTAACTGTGCAATATATCTTTTGTTACTACAATATTCAATATGTTGTATACAATGTACAATATGTTATTAATTTTTGTATTTTATCTGCAAAAATTTAAAAAGAAAAAATTGGTGCTTTGCAACATATTTTGAATCCCTCACTGTCTGGCTGTCATTATGATTTTCTTTTTGTATTTTTTTATGTTGTTGTTATTATTTATTCTTTTTTATCTTGTTTATTTGTTTATTTGATCGTATTTCACTTTGTGTTATTTTAGATTATTTTGCTGCTGTTAATTTACCCATTTAGTAGTGATGTGTGTTGTTATTGGTATTAATAATTGCACTAATAAAAAAGTATATTTCGAATAATACTATCAATTCTACTCAAGCATATTTGTAGGGAAAATAATCTACTTTTTACGCAATCTACTTTTTACACTTTGATCAGCAGGTGGAGAGAGAGAGAGACTGTGTGTTTGAGTGAAGCTGCCCCGAGGGCAGGCTGTTTAAACGCTGAGTTTGGAAATGTAGGGTTTTGCTGCTCTGCCAGTTCTCCTCCGCTCACTCCTTTAATCAGATTGCCTTCCCTGACACCCACTCGTGTTTGTTTCCCTGCAATTTCATTTTCTGCTCTCAATTGAGCATTAACCTTTCTCTGCAGAGAGTCCTGGTTGAGCAAACGGAGGCAAACGACGACACTCTGGAGCCATGTCACGAATACGACAGGTGGGCAGAGAAGACTCCCTCCAGGGCCATCTGACCTGCTCTAAACTCCACTCTCTTCTGAAAAAGACAATTTACACAAAGCTGAGATCTCTACAGAAAAGTGCCTGTGCTAATCAGACTGCATTTCTTATTTTTGACTGTTACATCACACTTGGTCAGAAAGATATTAGCTGGCTTCTCATACAGTTAGTTTTACACTAAACTGTAATGCCAATGCTGATTCACCACTGAAAATCCCTTTCAGTCCTGGATTAGGCCTGGACTGGCACGGGGGAATCTTCCCATTATGACTGAATTGAGTATAACATATTGTACACCTCTTTGCAACATACATTTCTCCTGCTTACTTAGCACTACATTCAGGCGAGTGAAACTTTATAGACTGAATATAGTTAGCAAAGCTAGTCATCCCGACAGCCTCTAAACTGATTATTTGATGACATACACCTTGTATTTTGTGCAAAAGTCAGAGACCACCCTTTGTTAATTTAATTTGCAGTCAAAATGGCAATTTAGCATCAGAAAAAAAGAGAAAACGTATTTAACAGACAGTTACACTGCCTCTACTAAATCAGTATCATTTTTTCAGTATTTACTGTGTTCACTATTTGCCTTCTTTACAGCTCTTATTCTCTTCAGGATACTTTCAGTCTCTGAAAGAAATCTACAGACATATTTTTCCCTTCTCCAAAGTTCAGTCTTGTAAATTGCATTTTCTGCTTCTCACAATCCAAGTAATTCCAAACACACTTAATGATGCTGAGGTCTGGACTTGGGTGTGGTCAGTCCATTTTTCTGAAAACACCAGCAGCTTTTTCGTTTCATTTGCAAAGTTTCCTTTTTACTTGTTAGTGTCTATTTCTTTTCTCACTAAGGGCTTCTTGACAGCTACATATCCTTTCAGACTCATAGTGTTGAGTTGTCTTCTCACAGAAACACCTGTGGATTTTTTTCTGATCTGTTAGAAGAGTGGAGCTTCATATTCTCCTCTCTCTCAAAGATTAAAGTTTCAAGAACAGGTTATCTGATGGGGTCAGTGTTGGTGGTCTACCAGGTCTTGTATTGTTGTTAGGAGTCCCATTTTCTCTGTATATTTTAATCATTTATTGAATTCCAGTTCTGGAAACTCCAATGTTTTCACTTGTTTTTGTTTGACTTTCCCCTTCATTATCCACGTGGATTTTCATGTATCTCCTCAGAATCTCCTGAAAAACAAATAACTTGGTCTGAATGGTTGTTTTGACTGGAAATTAAATAAATGACGAGCGGTTTCTGACTTTTGCACAGGATTACAGGCTCAATTTACTACTGCATAGTAAATTTTGGGATGTCATATTTTGGAATAGATTATTTAACACCAATAAATTTACCTAAATTGGATTTGGTATCAGTTTATTTGGAGTGGTCCTTTGTAGATGATTGACAAACTCTTAACAGATTATCAGTAATACATTAACAACATATCAGTGGAGTAGCAGTAGTGAAGCATCTGAACACACTGAAGTAAATATCTTGTAGATGTTCTGTTGATTCATTACTTACATTAAGTAGTTAAAATGTTACTTCCATTACACAAAACCTAACCTTACTCAACCTTACCCAACACCTAACCCTCACCCTGGCCCTAATTCCAACCCTAATCTTAACCTCAACCTAAAACCCAACCCTAACCCTCATATGTTTTTGACATGATACTGAGAGTCCATTGAGTGTTTGATCTAAAAGGACCACTCAAAATAGTGTCACCTTGGATTTTTGGACAGTTTTATCTAGTGCCCTTGTTTATGACATAATGAAATATAATGAAGTATAATAATCACATGCTATTATTAAGAATATCTTCTCAAAGCTGACCAGACCTGTCAGATGCTACAGCCCTCCATACCACTGGAAATACAGGATTGGATAGTGTGCAGTGCATGTCTTGGAACTTGACCGGTGGTAGGATGGCATCTAGATATCCATACTTTTCATGTACTTCATGGATAGTACAGTTTTGGACAGAATCTTTTGGGAGAACTATTTTGGCACATCTGCTTAGTCATATGTGACTTTGCAGCTAAAGAGTCTGTGAAATATTACGTAATGCTGCATGTATGTGGAGAAAAGATGCACGTATTGAGTTCATTTACGTCCAAGCTCTAATTTTAATGTCATCTTGTTGGGCGTTTCTCTCTCTGGACAGATGGACAGCATGGCGTAACTGGCAGAGTTGAACACAATGTTTGGCGGCCGTTCATATACAACAGCTGGTCAACAGAAACCCCCACCAGCCTGGCAGAGTCCCTTTTAGTTTAACATCCATTATAGCTCCAACTGGGGTTGGTCACAAAAAAAGGAAAAAGACACATACCAAAACTAATTATTCCAAAAGTGTTTTTTTTTTTCTCTAAATGTATGTAGAGGAAAATGACATTTTCCCAGACAGTAAACAAGACACACAACATGAATGCAAATACATGAAAACTCATCTCATATCTCTTAAATGAAAGATTTACGGTGCACATGTCGGAATGATTTTCACGAGGAATATAATCCGGCTGTCTGAGTGTGGCTTGTGTGACCTCGTACTCACACACTGGACAGACTGCAGGTCTTGGATGGAGTGTGTACAAACATACAAATACCCAGACATGCACACTCATGAATGCGAATCAGCGTTTTACAGATGTGAAAAAGGCCTTCTTAAACATTCGCTGAGGATACTTGACATGAGCCACAAATGAGGTATCTGACAGAATCCAGAGCAGAATTAAGACCAAAACTGGGATTTGTCTGGGTTTAATTTGATATGACTGGTTAAATGTGGGTAATGCACATACGTAAATGTGCAATGCGTTCTAATATTGGTCATTTTCCTCAGGCTCTGGGGCTCCCTGGGTGGTGTAGTTCAAAGCAGTTCAAACCAGCAAGAATATAGTCATATGCAAAAGTTTGAACACCCCTGCTCAAATGATGCTTTGTTGATTTTTTTTTTTTTAAGTAAAAAAAATAAGCACATCTTCTACAGGGAATAAACTTAAACATTGTATTTTCAGCAAATTTTAATGCACAATTTATTTTTATTTGCAGTTTAATATCTTGGAAAAAAATAAAATGTAAAATATAAAAAGTGCCAGAACTCTTGCAAAGCCACATTTTATTCTTTATTTTTTTCAGCAAATAAATGTAAACTGTGCATTAAGATCTGCAGAACTATCAACAAAAACGTAATTTAATCAGGCCACCCAAACTTTTGTTATATTATATGACTGTCTGTGCAGTATTCTGACTACTTAACCCCAATATTTCTCAGTCCCTTTAGTTTCAGGTATTTAAAACAAGTTATGGCCACTGTGTGTATGATTCATGAGTGGACAATTGCACTGCTGTTAGTGGCCCTCTGTTAAATAAGAGTGATATACAGTATTCAATAGCAATTTACCCATAAAAGAATAACAGAAATGTCTTTAAGTTTAGCCACTGATGAGAGTAATGCACCAATAGAAATTGATCACTTCTTCAATTTACTGTCCATGAGTTGAACAAACTCATGCATTCTCTTTGTGCTTTAGTGTGTCGTTTTCTTGGGTGCCTTTCCAAACGTAGCATCCAGCCCCAAACCTGAAAAACAGAGATCACAAGTGATGACATCCATTTACAGGTTTCTGCTTGTATGACAGCTTGGTCAAAAAAGTCTGCACAATATCCCCTCAACCCAAATGTAGTTGATCAGCTAAGAGACATTTGGTGTTGTCATCTTAGGTTTTTCACTGGAACCACAGAGGCTAACGTAGCTAACAAGCAATGGAAGCATACAGCCACTAGGGGTGGGTGATACAGCAAAAATCTAATATTACAATACTTAGACAATACTAGACATTTTCATGATTTACAATGTCATGATATTTCATTTTTCTGATGTTTGTCAAGTTTAAAAATGCACCAGTAATGCCACATTTATACTATATTGTCAAACACACACACACACACACACACACAACACACACACACAGACACAGACACTCCCTATCTAAGCCACTTATCCTGCTGGGTCGCAGGGGGTGCTGGAGGTTATCCCTGCACTCACTGGACTCAAAAAAGACTCTGGTTGCGCGGCTGGGGAACTGAACCCTTCTTGCTTTGAGGCAACAGCACCACCCACTGTGCCACCGTGCCACCCGTGTCAAAATTGTTGCTACAAGTGTTTTTGTTCACTGTTTTACATACTACGCAACAGTAAATTCAGCAAAACATGACAAACCATGCTCTCTTTATAATGACTATACGGACAGTCATTGTTCTACAAGTACTGATGATATCCACAACATACTTAGAAAAGCTTAGTGTGATGGAGTTTATCACAGTAATACTAGCCATTATTATCATATTGCCCACTTCTAATAGCCACCAGGTTAGCATGGTGCAAACTGCATGCCAGCACACTCTTGGATAGTAAAGTAATCTCAAATAGACTCACTTGTATGGTTTCTGACAAATGACAAAAGAACAGACAAAATTCAAGGGGGGCTGCTACTACTGTATTTAGCTATACAACATTTTTGTAGATAAAGTGTGAGAAACAACATAAGCAAGTCTATTTGAAATTGCTTAACAACATTACGCAGTTTGAAGCCAATGTGTGATGACTAGGGCATGCATTTTACACAATGCTATCCTGACTGCTATCAGCTTGCCTTACTTGTTAGCTACCTTAGCCTTCCAGCACAAAACTAAAGAAGAAAACTTCAAACACGTCTTGGGTGACCACACTAGGGGATATAGGGATATCAGATTTTGTACATTAGATTTTTGGCCCAACTATCGCTTTAAACGATGATCTGGAATCAGCTCCTTCATTCGTTTTCAATCACATTAATTAGTATCATGCCGGCAAAGACTGATCCTAGATTAGGAGCCTTAAAATATGACCCTTCATAAAGCTACTGAACACACTGAAATGCAGCACAGACTATACACCTCCGCGTGATAGGATTAGGAACAAACCTAAGCCCTTAAACCTGAAGCTTGACAAGAGTGAGAGTGAACAGGAGAGCACAAGAGAGAGCGAGACAGCTCATTACTGAGAAAGAAACAGAGGCACAAATAGGGCCTAATTTAAAAAGCCACTGAAAGATAAAGGAAAGGTGGGAACCCAGCACTGCCCAAGAAAAAAGAAAAAGTTTCTTTCTTTCTGTCAGAAATGAACCATATAAACAGAATGAAAAGAAAAAAATACAAAGAGGTCCATTCACCTGAGAAGACGAGGATGGTTCCGAGCCACTGCATGGGAGTGAGGACGTTTCCGAACAGCAGCACTGAGCCCAGGATGGTGAAGAACTTCCGCGTCGTTGTGACAATAGAGCAGGTCAGAGGTCCGAAATACACAACTGTCATAAAGATGAACGTCTGACAGAGGATGAAGGAGAAGACACAGTTACTCTGATGAAACATTAATACAGCATTACTGGCAACTGCAGTCATATCTCACAAATTAATGTTTAAATGTGTTGACAACGCGCTTGATAGCTGTATGAGACAGAGAGAAAGAAAAAAAGAAAGAGAGAGGAAAAAAAGAATAGAAAGAAACAGAAGGAGCAAAAGACAGGGAAAGAGAGAGAAAAAAGTGAAAAAGAAGGCAAAGACAATACAGAGACAGAGAGAGAAAGAACAGACATAGTGAAAGAAGACAGAGACAGAGAAAAAGGAGGGAGAAGAGAAAAGTGAGAGAGAGATAAAATAAGTGATAGAAAAGACTGAAAGACAGAAATAAGGCAGAGAGAAAAAGAAGACAGAGAGGGAGAGGGGGCAAACAAGAAATTGAGGGCAGAGAGAAGACAGAAAGAGAGAGAAAGAGAGACAGAAAGCATAAAGAGTTAGAGAAAGACAAAGAAACAAAAGGAGTCAAATATAGACCAAGAAAAGCAGAGAGAGAGGAGAGAGAGAGAGCAAGAGAGAGAGCGAGAGAGAGAGCAAGAGAGAGGGCAAGAGAGAGCAAGAGAGAGGGCAAGAGAGAGCGAGAGAGAGGGCAAGAGAGAGGGCAAGAAAGAGCAGGAGAGAAAGAGAGAGAGAGAGTTAAGTACCTGTCCTAAAGCGCTGGTGAAACCAAAGAGCAGGATGTTGTAGACGACACTGGGGTAGCGATCAGCAAAACTCAAAAACTCCCACACTTCATCTGTCCACAACACAGCTGGAGGAACAGACACAGAGACTATTTACAGGTCTGACTCTCCACAGCCTACAAATCTGACAGAAACAAGCCTCTCTTATTGTGTTTGGAGGTTTTCATCCGTCAATGAAATCCTGCACTTCTGGGAGGAATCATTAACATTCTATATCACAGTATCTTCCATTTTCCAGTATCAGATGACATTTGCTTTATATTTGCATTAATAAAATTAATGAATCACTACTCTGCGCTAAAAGAATGTCAAGTGCTGCTTCTCAAATACCATTAGAAGAAATCAGTTTTCAAATTGCAGTTAACTTATTTTTAGCCAGGTTTTTAGCTATGTATACTGTTATAAATCTAAAAATAAATATTGCACTGTGTCATCAGTACATGTACAAACAACTGGTTAGCACTACAGTTATCAACAGCTGAAATGTCATGACTGGTTGAAAGTTGAAAAATGCGTTTCTTGCAAACTAGTTTAGCACTTGCACTTCATGATATTACACATTTTTGGCAGTTGAACAAGCTGTTTCCTGTACTTGTGCTCAATCTCTATTATCTTGCATGCTGAAAACTCTTTCCTATTCCGCCCGCATGGCTCCAAGTCTCTTTTTAAAAACTTTAATAAACAGGGGCAGTTACACTGAGATTTCCATCTCTTTTTTCACCCCAGGAGTGTGTGATGAGATTAAAGTGTGAGAAGCTAAAAGATTAAAAACAGGCGTGTGTCTGAACAGATGCCTCTCAGGCCCATCCGAGACAGTCTGACCAGCTGGCCGACACCAGCAGGACTGCTCCCTTTAACACTGCCCTCAACACTACATTTAACGCGAAGCTAAATATACGCTGGAGCTATGGCTCCCCCTCCTGGGAAACATGGGCAACAGCAGGCCTGAGGCCAACCCAACATCTGAGGAACAGAGCTGCATCTCAGAGTGTAGGTGCACATCTTTGATTCTCACACTATGCTTAAAACATGCCCCCGATGCCCCCAAAATTGGTGGGATAAAAACCTACTGTTTCAGAGTCCTGTGGTTTTGGCTGGACCACTGCTCAGTTCTTTGTTGTAGAATGAGCACAGGTGGAGTGGTTTGCACGAGGCAAAACGAACCGCATTAAGGAAAAAAGGTCGACAGGTGAGCTGCAGCTCCTCTCACGTAACACAAAATCACGAAGGCTTTACTGTTTGGGAAACATCTTAGGGAGAGGGGGATTATTATTTTTTTAACGTTAGCGTTTTGTACTATCGCCCAGTACTTTGAGAAGTGGTGGGTCACGCCCACTCACCCCAAGGTTCTGGTGGCCCTGGTTTGAATTGCAATGCAATCATCTGCATTATCTGCATTCTGGTACAGCTTTTCCTGTGTTTTTTTTTCTATTTTCTTCTGCAACTAAGGATTATTTATGTAATTTATTAACACTTGGACAATAGTTGAATTAATCAGCTAAATCGAACTACCATTCTTTCTTCAATTCCTCTTCACCACAATCATTCAAAGTTCTATTTAGCCTGTCCCATTTGGCGCATCCTCATTTGTACATGCCCGTGTTGACCTTGAGGCCATAGCATTTCTCACCGTGCTTTCAAAGAGCTGCTCACAATCATCCTCTAGGCCTCCTAATTTTTTCAAACTCAGGCAAGGGCGAATTAGAGTGGATGGGTTTATTTATAGTCGTCTGACCAGTATGATACTGAGGAGTAAGTTAAAATTCACTTGTTTATAAATTTAACTCCTTATTGAACTGCATTACGCATGTAATCTATATTGTACCAATAAACAATAGATGGTACAAAATTCATAAAACTATAATTATTACAGTATGTAGGTTACAGTATGTATCAAAAAATCTTCATTTTTGAGAAAAGAGAACAGTTGCTCATCCAAGGCAATGAATTAGATTATCTTTTAGGCCATATTTAAATTTAAAATTAAATTTGCACTTTGTCACTGTCATTCGTGACTGTAATCTACATTGTGCCACTGTAGATAAGCAAACTAGCTAATTAAAAACGAGTATGACCAATAACACAAGTACAATACATACGTTTGTATAATACATATATAGTCTGGGGTATGTTTGTCCCAAATATATACTATTAAACTTAGCACCCCCAAAGTCTCTTGTCCTCCATGTCCACACATTATTGCCATCATGTGTCAGAATGACAGCGTGTATTACATGTTATAGAATATAATCTCAGAATTACAGTGTTTATTCATATGAACCACTGTTTATACTTTTTGAACATATATCTTTTTGTGTATGTAATTTTTGTTTTTACATAAACATTTAAAAATACTTCTAAGAAAATTATGGAGAATTATAGGGCAACAGTAAAATGACACAGATGATAAAAATCCATGTCAATGTTTTTTCATAGTCCAAATCCCCAGTTAGGTTAGTAATGTAGAACTGTGCAAATTTATGACAATTCTTGCATTGCAGGGACATACCCAAGCCCAACACCAGCGTGGACCACAGGTTCACATTCAGCATCATGTGATTTGCTCCTGTCTGGAACCGCCCCCTCATATGATCCTGAGCCACCCCCGTCAGACCGTCCAGGGTCAGAGACAGAATCTGCACGCACAGAGAACAGAACACATTTAGTGTTGCTCCAAAATTAAAATTCTCTGCCAAAACGGAAAACGAAATTCAGGACATGCTGGGCTGAAAAATAAAACCAAAAAAGCTGACCCAAAAGGAAAAGAAAAGAAAAGAGAAAGGTTGGTCATCCAAGGCAATGAAGGCCATTATCTTTTAGGCTATTTTTAAATTTAAAATCAAATCTGCACTTTGTCATTGTTTTCATTTCAAAACTTATGAATAAAGATGGCATTGTTGTGCTAGCAAGGACTCTTCTTTCTGCTTCTGATGTTTTGCTGTTTTCTGCATAAGGAGCAGGACGTTGCGTGTTCAAACAGAATGGGGGTGCTGTACCCCCTCTTGATGAACAATGATTACAAATCGCTTATCAAACATCCCTTAATGAAACTGGGAAATAGTTCCACACAGCCGACAATTACAGTGTTTATCTGCTGCCGCTCAAATTGTCTATGAAGACTGGCACAAGAAAGCGAGGCTGAAGTTATTTTTGTATTTGGCAGCTTCTTATTTGAATTTTCGGTTCCACCTTAAATAGTGTAGTAGTTACATTCTTGTGTCCGCAGGCCCCAGAATGTAGCTGCCTCACCGTTTAGGGTGGAACGATAAATTCAAATAAGAAGCTGGAAAGCTGGAAAAAGCTGCAAGGCTAACTTCATCTCATTGGAAAGGGAACAAACTGCATTTTTAGTCAGTTTTTCACTACCAATAAAATGATTTGTAAAGTCAGATTTCAACACTTCATTGTTCGCATATTTAATGTGGTCAATTTGGTCAAAATGTTTAGCCTTTTCTCTTTCGGCTGAAGGTGCTACTTTTTGACCATTTTTGGTGGCTGAATTTTTTTGTGCATCTCTACACGTCACACAGCAAAAGCTAAATAAATCACAGAAACACAGGTGAGCTGCAGTCATAATCACTCCTTATTACAGAAACAGTCCACTATATAATGTGGGTTGCCATATAGTCATGCTGCTCAAATTCTTAATGCTAAATCTTTCAGCCTTTTCATTGCAATTCTCCAGTCAGTTCTCTATATAGCACACACTATGTAGCAAAAAGGGAATGAGTTCATGTTTTTTTAAAACACACTGTCTTTATACAGAAGTAGGGCTGTGATGATCATCACATTTTAGCTGACAATTAATTATCACACAATTAATTCTGATTGATTATTTAATTGCCTTTTTAGTTGATTGTTTGCAACTATTAAAAAAAAAAGCCTAAAAAGACCAAAATGGCTAAAAACTTTTACTCAGTAGCTAACAGTGGCTATACTGTTGAATCAAAAATATGCACACTCACACAAATGGCTATGGCTACACATAATAATTATGAGTAGAGTTAAGCATAGCTACATGTTCTTTACATAAAAAAGTAAAAAGTATAAACAAAAAAAACACTAAATCTGCCAGGATACATACTAAAAACATTAGAATTAGCTACATAGCTAACAAATAAGCAAACGTTACTCAGCACTGCCCTCTAAACATGTCAGAGCACCAAGTCAGAAGTTAGACTGCTCTTGTTTTTATAAGCCCAAGATGTCTCAATGAATTCATTTACTGCTTTCTTTAATTTAAATTTATTTGCCTCAACCCAACACAACACTTCACATTCTCTCTGTTGCAGCATAATATAACTGAAATCTAACAACTGTGGAAAATGGCAGCAGTCAGCTGAAGCAATCACAAAAGAATCCACTTAGGATAGGATCCAGTTTTGGAGCAGGGCACAAAGTTTTTCAAAAGTTTTTCAGTGTAAAAAAGTATCAATTTAAATATAAATATAACCTCGAAAGTCAGGCTGCATAATTACTTCTTGAAAAATGTTCGTACTATTACTAAACAAAGGTACGATTTTCATACATGTTGACTTCCGCTGGATCCATTACTACTGTACTACAGTCATGCCCTTTTTCCAGTGTAAAAAAGGTGAATGGAAGCAGCGCAGAAACTAACCAGCAGCATTTCTCCAAAGCCAAAAAAATGCTCATCTGAGGTGGTGGAGCCCTTATTGGGTTTGTAGAGGAAAAGTGCGACACCAGTGACAATCAGAAGCACACACAGATACTTGGCCATGGGGTACTTCTTCCTCAGAATGGTCACCCCTAGGATCATCACTATGGAAACAAAGACACAGTTCTGAAGTTGTAAACTGAAAGAAAAAGTGAGTATTAAACAGTAGACATTTACACAAAATGTGTATGTAAAGTACTATTCAAAGTGTTTCTGCACAATGATTAAGACTGCGCTTGAGGAGACATTAAAACAAGCTCCATATAAAAGCAAATGTACAAATGAAAATTAGTGAAGAGTTCAGACTTCAATACATCCATAGATCTGCATTTGTAGACTGTAGAGCTGCTTTCTTACCTGGGATAGGTTTACAGGACTTCCCCAACACCTATAAAGAATAAAATGACAGATTCACATTCAACAGTCACAACGTTAACATATTATTAGTGTTATGTTGGTTTTATGTTCTTTGTTATTAGATATTACAAAGTTATTACTACATTCACATTTCAGTGGCACAAATCTGATTTTCCAATCTTTCTTATCAAAAACTTTTTTAAATAAAAAATACAAAATAAAAAAAAAAAAAAACACACATTAAACTTCTCATGAGAGCATCACTGTCATTATTCAGTGCAGTCAGCACACCAGTAGCGGCTGAGTAGGCTGAGTAAACCATCTAACAGTAATTTTATATATATATATATATTTTACAAATGGGCAGAATGTCAATTCTAAAATACTGTCATCATTTTTAAACACTGTATTATACCACCCAACCCTACTGTTCACATCCATGACAGATATGGCCTCCTTTACAATCATGAATGTAAACCCTCAAGGCAAAAAGAGCAGATCTGAGCAAAACATCAGAACTGAGCAATAAGGAGTGTAATGGTGAACGAGAACTAAGAGAAAAAGTAAACCAAAAAAGGTTGTCCACAATAATGGAGCTAGACAGACTGCCTGGTAGACACACACACACACACAGAGAAAGAGAGAGAGAGAGAAAACTGACCTGTGTGGGGTAGTTGACATACTGTAGAGCAGAGTTGCTGGACACCATGGCCCCCAGATAGGACAGCGCACACACGCCATAGAGCCAGCTCCGCGTGTGGTCCGGCCTGGAGCCCTCGAAAATCTGGATCACTGTTCAGCAGAGGAGAATGAGAAAGGGAAAAGTGAGAATGAGTACAAAAACAGGAAAATGTAGCAAGTGTAGCATGGTGACATGAGGGGCGGACTCACAGATTCGGGCGAAGATAGCATTGATTATGCACTGGATGAAGACGAGAGTAGTGGCATAACGAAACTTCTCCTTTTTCTCCCCCTGGCTGTAATCTCCTCTTGTGCTGAAACACAATAAAGACATTGTACGGTAGTTAGACTGATGCATATCTAGGACTGGTTTGCCCAGCTGTAACCATAAGCAATAACTGTGGCTTGTTATGGTCTCACATACACAGAAAAGGGTCAACACACCCTTTAGGCCAGGCTTAAGAGTTATTGCAAGAATCAGTACTGCTCATCTTTAACCTTAGGCAAGGAAACAGCAGACTGAGTTGGGATTACTCAAAGTGGGATTTATGTCTGCTTATAACATTTGTGTGGCTTTAGGTACCAAAAACAGACAAAATTAAATTTACACCACCATTTTCCAACCTTCCTCCCATTAAACAGGCTGTTTTCCTTAGTGCACTTTAAAGACTGATGTATGTAAATGATCTCTGTTCTGGTTGGCTGCCTGTTTTATGCCTCATTTAAGATGTAGTCTGGATTGAAACACTCCTTATATTTGTGTGAATGGGCAGGGAGGGCTAAACTGCTGTATGCTAAATAGATGGATACAAGTAAATGTGCTAGAGGTTTTTTGGTGACATGGCAAAAACAGTTAGTTTCCACATATGGACCAAACAGACTGGCAGTTAGTGGTGAAACTTTAACAGTGTTTATTTACTGCATCAAACTCTTTCATTAAAAAAAAAAAAAAAACAGGTCCAACAGTAGTTTTCCCAGACACCCTCCACAGCATAACACGCGAAAGCTGGACAGCTCCAAAACTGGAGCTCAGACATCCACAGCACACTTGTACAAAGGGCATAGGTAGGCTTGTGAAATAAGATACCACTATGGCAGCAATGCAGATCTATCACATGAGCAGCGTCCCCTTCAGCATATTACATCCACTGGTGATGTCTTTAAGGTAGCCTATCACAGATGTCCTGAAACTTAGGTTTCCCCGGTACTTTCTGACGGTTTCAGTTACGTGTCACTTGCCTAAGAGACAATACCACATAAGGGACTTAAGAGCAGCGTGTTAGTTCGTCCCTTTAGGAAGCTCCATTTCAAATTCACGTTAAGTTGCTAAAAATTTCTGATGGGGGGGGGGGATAACTAAATAGCTAACCTAGTGAGATGACCACGAAACTAAGCGTACCACTAATTCACAGAGTTAAAGCCTTATGTTGGAAAAGTACACTTTGTTTTTTAAGTACATTTTCACTACAATTTAGTCTTTTTGGGGGTTGGTTTCTGTCGCTCATCTCATTAACCATGCCAAATATCACCCAATAATAACAACTACAACAACAACAATAACATTTTAGCTAACTGACCAAAACTTCTAATCACTAACAGTTTGACTGCAATTCCTGCCATGTTTAAAAAACAGTGATGAATATTTTATATTTTAGCAATAACTATTACTGAAGATAGAGACGTTGACCTAAATGATTTTTACCATATGGCAGTAACTTAAATAGTGCTAAAACCTCTCAGAAAACTAACTTAGAGCAGTTAGCCAGCGCCGCTAAGCTATTTAATAAGATGCTAGGTTAGCGTAGCTTAGCCACTCACATCGTCTCCTGCAGGATCCCGTAGTAGAAGTAACAGACGAAGACGCCGCAGAAACAGACGATGAAGCGCACTTTTTCGTTCTGCCACAGCGACCCCTTCACCGCGCCTTTTCCCGCAACCATAGTGTCGTCCAGTAAAGCCGGGAACACCGGGATAGACACTGCCGCCGATCCGCTCGGGGGAAGCCGTAAGCCCGCGTCTCGCTCCACGCTACCGGCCGTGAGGACGGCGGAAATGGCGCCGCGGTGAGATGAGCTGTTAGCGGGGATGTGGACGGGGCTTTCCCTCTGCCCTCACCGCCTGTCTCCTCCCGGCTGGACTGATCCCTGACTTAGAAAACAGACCCTGTGTTAGCGGGACAGCTGCGTCCAGTACAGTAACGGTATCATGTGTCTTGCAGCATCCTGAAACCGCTGCCTGCTGGTATGCTAAAAACAAAAAAAAGGCTTATCTGCTGCATAAAACCCCTCCAAGAGCGGAGACTCGGTACACTTAATTCAGAAAGTGGACATAATCCGCAGCCCGTGTCTAACAGAGCTTCATCTGAGGAAAACCAGCGAGCGAGCGCGGAATGTTTTCATCTTAAACTCGTGAGAGACGAGAGGAGATGTAGGACCAAAGGTAGTCCGGAGATCCTTCACGGCGAGCCTGCTTGTGGGAGTTTCACAGTAGCTCAGGCACAAAGCGCACAAACATGTCATTAAGCTGAAGCTGTGGCATCATTTCAGTTCCAGCACCGCGCAGCTGTAATTCAGTAATAATGTGGGGTTCTGGTCATGTTTTTCAGTGCATGTGAAACCCAGAAACAGCCCCTGGGAATCACTAATTCATTATTTACTCGCTCCAGTAACCAAACCTACCTAAACAAGTTATTGCTTCATTTCTTTTAATAATAACAGGTCATTTCCTGCAGAGTTGATTTGTAGACGGAGTTAGGCGTTAGACTGAGGCAGCTACCCAAACACTTAGCGGGCCTTTCCGAATAAAACGCGCGTGCAAGTTTTACGTCTTGGTATGTGGAGGATTGTGATTGGTCCAAATAAGACGAAACAGGGCTGACTCTGTCCAATGAGAACGCCGGGATCAGTTCGAAGGCGTGGCTTCGGGTCCCAAAGCAAAACTACACGTGTCAGGCAAAAAAACTCCCACTTCACTAATAACTGTTTATAACAGGCTGTGCTGAATAACCAGCTTCAAATGTGCAGATTCACAACCTACTTTTTACTATTCAGTATGAATCAACATGCACATGTCAAAATGACTTTGGAATAAATATAACAGTGGCCATGCAGTTTTTAAACTGTTTTATATCATCCAACAACATAAACTGAAAGTATAAACAAGACTTTTAACAATTTGCAGCAGTGTCATCTAGGCAAAAAGAAGTTGGACACTGCTGGTCAATAAAATAACAATAAGAAGATGTGAAGTGACTTTACAAATAACCTTTTCAGAGAACAAACAAAAAGAAATGTTCAAAGAAACATTATTCACAGCCATAAAAAGGATGCTGTGATGACAACTTATTTACAGTTCTTTCTAACAGGGAACAGAGCCTGCAAATTTGTTGAACTGATATTTAATCTAACCAAACCTGGATAAAATATCAAATTTTTATCCAATATTCAGTTTTCTATGTCATGTTTTAGGCACATAATGGGATTCACTCTTGTATCACGCCTAAAATGTCAGTACAATTAAAGAAATAGCCTTTATATACTGCTTGTTACTGTAGTGGTCTGCAGCAGTATATTAGCAACAGATGGCACATTTTCTCTCTCCAAAGGTTTCTACAAATCAGAGTGAGAATTTCAAACGAGCTGTCATACATTTCAAAATTGATTTAAAAAAGAAAGAGCACAACCAAAAACAATGACACAAACACAGTGAGTAAAAAACACAAACCTGAACTTCAACTGGCTGTATTTAGTGCTATGCTACAAATGCTACACACTAACTGTACAAACGCACAGGGGTTCAGACATTGTCTGTCATATCTAGTAAATACAGATGCAAAATGCAGAAAATATTCACTCTGAATATCAAAAATAAATTCAGCAAAGCTGTATAGGCATTACATCTATGAGGTTAAACTACTAGAAATCAGTGCTTTTGGATGTTACGACCGCTACGTTTAGTTTGCAGTACGAAAATATTCAGTTTTTACTCATGTGAAGATTACACAGAACCCTTTTCATTCAAAGTATGTGCTTCAGAGTAGTTATTGAGTTTTACAAAAACAGTTCAGGATAAAACAAATGACATATCAATCAAGTATACAATTGTGTTATCATCTTCATTATAATTTAGAAGTCTGTCAACAAAAAGTTCATTGGTCTTTTTTGTCATCTGACCAATTAATCAAATAAAGAAACACAGACTTCGGTCCAAAAAGTCAAGAAATGAAACTGCTGTGGTCAAAAGCTACATTGAATAATAATAATAATAATAATAATAAGGGGTTGTGGGTTCTGTGGTGGTAAATGAAACAAATATTTCACGCAAAACCAATTAAGTGGATGAACGAACCCTTACTGGGGTCTAGCCAGTTTGTGTTAACATGTACATTAGAAGTCAGTATATTTTATAACAGCAACATGCCATTCCCTTTTAAACAGGGCTAAAAGCACATATAGTTGTGCTGGTGATCATCATGGGCTTTGGTCTGGAGAACCTAGTATGGCAACAGTAGTTTCTATATATTCTCTAAATGTAGGTTTTTAAGTCCAGTAAGCATCTTTAAAAGCATCACATCTCAATGCTGGCATTATTATGCAGTAAGTCTGATAGACGTGTGGTACATTCCCATATCATAAAGGAATACTTTACCTCATCTATATTCTTCCATTTGCTAATCTAAAAAAGGTTAGCTATCCTATTATGGGATATGTATAGCCAGGCTTAGATGTCCAATTATTCAGAATCATCCACATTACAAAAAGAATGAAAGGTCTTGTGTGTTTGTCCTGAGAGTGACAGTGCTTTCTTGTAGTTCTTTGGTGATGGATTGTCTTCCTTCTTCATCTTTTTGTCCTGATTTCCTTCTTAGCTGAAAAGTAAATGCTCATTTTGTGGGTGCCACAACTACCAGTAAACTGGCACATAGAAAAAAAAAAGTACATCACTCTTATGTGCATCAGTTCTCACTTTGCCCTCTCATTTCTCCCACCTCTTTAAATGGTAGAGGTGTTAGAGTCTGGGAGGTATGTGTTGTTGCCCACTGTATGTGTTATTGTCTGACAGGGGGCAGGGCTTTGGCCTGAGCAGCCAGTGACAGGTGAGACTGACAGGCCACGAAACAGCAAGTCCATGGAAGGGAGGAGGGGTTTAAGTAGGCTGACTGGGCAGAAGGCGGAGCCTCCGTGAGGAGTGAAGTTGACTTTGTTGGGGTCGGGACAGGATGGCTGAACGGGACGATCGCTGTGACATGGAGAACTAAAAGGGAGGAGTAGAAGAAGACACAAAGGGCAGGTTATGAGTGTTTTGTGAGAGCAAGCTGCACACTACACATTAAAAATAAACATGGAAATTTATGTACCAGTCATAATTCATTTTTACATGACTAAGGTAATATTTTTACCTTCCATTTAAAGTGATGTTACAAAAAGATGTTATTCATCTTGCTATACAGAATACAGGGTTTTATAGCATTTTCATGGTTTTGTTCATGAATGTTCTCTCACTACAATACCCAGCATGAATTACACAAATACATCATACAACCATTGGGTATCCCTGTGGTGTTCAACTAATCCTGACTGCTAGCCACACTGATCTGTAGGTTAATAAATACAAGACTAGCATGACCATAATTCTAACCTTACTCATCAAACAAAATCATAAAGAAAACAGAGACTGTATCTTTATTCTGTCCTCATCTGTCAGCTGAGTAATCCATTCTCTCCATTGTAATGCTGATTTGAAGAAAGGTACTAAAGTTATACGACTGCAATAAAAATACTTGGCTTGCTATCATTAATGTTGGCTTTCTGCCTTCGTCTGCATTAATTTTCTTAAAAGAAAAATAAAACAGCCCACCCACAAAAGTCCAGCTCAAAGCAGGTGTAGTTTAGTTTGCTGTAGGATGCAGGTTGGCAGGTTTTCAACAGATGATGGTTACATTTTACTTTAGCTGCTGTTTCCCTTTAACATAGGATGGGTCTGACTAAATGTCTGCAGCAAAAGTTCATAAATAACTGATTCTTAATATGGTTTGCTCCTGGTGGAGTTTTACTGCAGCTCTAATAACATCCACCTAATTCACTCATTCAGATGCTCCTCAATGCTTGATTTACTGAATCATGTGTGTTAAACTAGGAGTGTGTAAATAATTACAATTAAAAAATGCTCAGTATAAGACACTATTAACAAAGACCATTAAGGCTTTTCACATACAATATGTTGGAGGAAGAGGACATCTCTGCAAAGTAATTGAATAAATTAAAATTATAAAATATTTCAACAAACATATTTTAAATAAAAAAAAATTCTCTGCTTGCTGCCACACCTTTGGCCTGCAGTGTACTTCCTATATGGGATATCTCTGTATACTTTGCTTGCATGTATCTGTATATGTATATAAATTGTGAACATCACACTCACAAGGCCTCTTCACATACACGCACTCTCTCACAGCCCTCTGGAGGTTCTCTCTGGAAGGCATAGGTCTTATTGGGGCGGGGGGAAGAGGAAGGTGCGTCAGCCACATACAAGGGAGGGGAGGGAGAGGGGTCCAGCTGCCCACAGACTACCATATCTAAAACACAATAAGAGAGAAAAAGAATGTTTATGTTTATACAAAACCTACAGGTTTCTGTACAGGTAAGGAACAGCACAGAAGATTCAGTTCTTCTCCTCCAGCCAATCATACATAAAAGAAACAATGGATGCTTTACTGATGTGAGCAATACATGTAATTATAATACATTTCCTTCCATATTGTAACATATTTCTGTGTGAAACAGTATCAAGGAGGGTCTCTGGCCTAGCTGAGCATTTTTTTCTAGATGAGAGGGAGAAAGAGGGAGAGAGAGAGAGAGAGAGGGAGAGAGAGGAAACATGCTATTACTTCTACATCTTCTCCCGCTCGCTGGTTCACGGCGACAGCCAAAAATAAGAGGTCATTTTAGAGAGAGGCGAAAAGTCATTACACTCAGATCAAAAGATACACCAATGTGAGAATTGTGAGCCAATGCCAATATTCAATATTTTTCATGTACATATCTGCTGATGCTGATACGTAAACATTGATGAAATTTAGAAATTAGTACAAGATCCACTTGTATTAGCATTACAGAAAAAAAATTACTTTTATAGGGCTACAAATGCAGTAAAATTAATAAAACAGTGATATTTTAGCACCTAGCATCACCTAAACATCCTGCTCTTTTGAGTACAATACATATCACCAAATATCGGTTTGATGATTCCGATATCACTGTGCATCCTTTGTCTAAGATTATTTGGAAATAAGACTTTTGTCTTTTAAATGGTCGACGAATTGTGCTGAATATGACCAGTGACATGATTTTAGGTTGACTTGGACTCAGGAGGTGGCTTGCTCCAAAATAATGGAAATAATACATTAAATGCTCATACTCATCGGCCATTTTGTCAAAACTCTCACCATATAGGTGCATTTTGTTGATATAGGTGTGCGCCAGTTTCTGACTACAGGGCCACTTTTGGCTGGATGTTTTTTTTTCCCCTCAAACATGATTATCTCCCCAATTTAGTTGTGTCCAGTTCCACCTACTAGTTAGGACTAGCTCCAATCACACAATACCACCAGCGCTAGGAGGGTTAAGGCTAGCACAGGCTTTCTGAGTCACTTCCAGCTCTTTTATGTCAGCTAGCACCATGTGGAGTGATAGTGAATGAGAGGGAGGGCCAAGGATGACTGTAGCATCACTGGAAATGGAACACCATGATCTCCTTAAGCAAGGACCAACTCTTAGACAGTTGTGTCACTCGGGAGCCCCTGAATTTAAACCTAAAAAGTGCACCTATATATAGATGTACCTGATAAAAGGGCCAATTTTCAGGTGGTGTTTCTATTATTTTATACACTCCCTATATATCTGCATTTATATCACAAGTGATATAAAAAATGAGAAAATATAAAAAACTAGAAATTCATGACCTCTGTAACAAAGAAAACAAAGAGTTTTCCAGTATGACAGACATGCTATGGTTTCACTGTGCCTAAAAACAAACGCTAATGCTGCATCTACCATTTATTATATCCATGATTTGAAGGTCAACCTCCCATAGAGACTCACCAGAATCTGCTATGGGACAGGGGGATTGCGAGGGGGAGAGAAGTCCAGGTGAAGGGTCACTCTGAGAGCCACTGCTGCACCTCTGAGCTGGAACAGGTGCTCTATGACCATCTGGGACATCCAGAATCTAAGCAAAAAAAGAAAAGAAAGAAACACACACAAAAAGGACATCAGTACATGCTTGATCACTGCTTCCCAATAAACCTACTTTATACTCCTTGTATAAGAGAATAAAAACAACAAGGTCTTTTTTTCTATAATCAATGATGTTGTGTCCAAGCACTAAGCAGCAAAAAAGTTTCATATCCTATGTTTTTCTTTTCTTTTTTCCACTTATAATTTTGGGTTTATGTACCAAAAACAGGCATGATTAATTTTTTATTACACCATTTTCAACTTCTCTTTATCCTTTACAATTAACCCAGCTGTCTTTGCCTTCAAGACCGTGCCTTTAAGACTGATTTATGTTAAGGACCTGCGCTCTGAGTGGCTGCCCTATATTGTGCCTCATTCAAATGGCAGCCTAGGCTAAAACACTCCTTTATAATTTCAACATGAATAGGCAGAGCTGAACTGCTGTAGGCTGTATGTGTGTATATATAAAGGGTTTAATTCCAAAATGCTCTATTTCTGTTTGTAACAATTTTTGATATAAAGAGTTTTTGTTCTGTATGAACTGAGGTGTGAACAGAACGTTTTAAAACTTTAATGCCGTTTATGTACTACATCAAACTCACAAACATGAGGAAAATTAGTTTTTCCATGTTATGAGCCCTTTAAGAAGTGGTCTGTAAACAGGCTCATTTTGACGCCTTCAGCCAAAACAGGGCAACCCAGCAATCGATTAAATAATGCTTCAGTTGCAAAAATTGTTATTTAATCGTTATTGCAATACTTAATATGCAAATGAACCTTCCAGCCAATATCAGTGTTTCCTCATACATATTTTGTCTATATCGAACAGTCCTAACTAATACATTTGATGGTTGATGCTTAATCAGATGCATATACACACACAAATTCTGACCTTGTGCTGTTCCTCTGGTAATTCAGATACAAAGACCCCCTCCAGCTCCAGGTTAAGCCCCTCTACACTGCGCCGCAATCTGGGAGCCAGCCTGCTGAGGGGCAGCAGAGGTACAGTCTGCACACAGAAAACACACAGTAAGAGAAAGAAAATATGTATGAAAATGACAGACAGATGGAAACCCAATATTAATTCTGTATTAGTTACTAACAAAAAAGTAAGGGGCTCTACTGCACAATTGAAATAAGACATACTGTTCACCACCTTTCTTTTATTTAATTTCCAGCCAAAAACAGTCAATAACAACCAATTAATCCAAGTTATTCATTTTATAGCATGAGAAAAACAGAACCACAGTATAATTTGTTTTATTACTTTAATATTATTTTATAGTATATTAGGTATATTTCAGTATTTAATGCATCCACTATTTGCCTTTATGACAGCTTCCATTCTTTTTAGAAGACTTCCTTTGAATTTTTCAAACAAATCTGTGTTCAGTATCACATGTTGGTTAGATTTGCTGTCTCTCACGATTCAAGTAATTTCAAACTCACTTTATAATGTTAAGAATGGACAAAAACATTTTTTTAGATCTGAAGCAAGAGTGTAGCTTGACTCCTCTCTCTCAAAGATAAAAGCTTTTTGTCAGATGGTGGTCTACAAGATAATGCATGGCTTATAGAAGTCTCATTTTCTCGTTATCTTCAAATTAATTTTGAATAAAGTTTAGAATAAAATTCTAAACAATTAATAACTTGTCCTCAGTGGCCATTTTGACAGGAAATTGTTTGTTTGGGACTGTTTCTGACTATTGCACAGTACTGTACATTGTAGTATTTGGACTGAATTTCAGAATAAAACATGAATTTGAAATTTCATAATAATATACATGCCCATGTTTTTTTGTCCCACATGAGCTGGGACTGAAAAAGTTACTTGCAAACATTAACTTGTTGCTTTTGTGTGTGTGTGTGTGTGTGTGTGTGTGCGCGTGTGTGTGTGTGTGTGTGTCTGTGTTTGTGTGTAGACAATTTTAATCCCAGTGGCTCAGTGAAGCCCCCTGCTTAGACAAGCCAGACTCTATTTAAATCTTTGTTGCTAGTTGAATGTGGAACAGTTACTTTTCTGAACATCACACCGTGGAGTCAGGTGCATGCGAGCACACACAACCACACACACACACACACACACACTCCGTCAACACATCATGCTCTGGAAATAAACATACACCAGCAAACATGCTTGCACATACACATTCATTTCTCCTCACATACAGAGTTGTGTACATGTTGAAGGGTGTGCATAACGAGTGTGTGAGTTGCTGTGTATTTTTACCTGTGTGGCTCCAGGTGCGTGTATGTGGATGGTTGGTGGGGGCTGATGAGGCCGATCATAGCCAGCAGCAGGAGGTGCATGTCTGGAGCGCTTCTGTAGCGAGTGCCTTAGCTTAGCAACCTGAAACAGAGAATGACGATATGCAAGAATTACCACACAATTACCACATATGTTCTAGTTCAACATGCTATGTTCTGAAGACCTTTCCTGAAGAATATAATAGACTTTCTAAGCAGATATATGTAATAAAAATTTGGCAACAAAACCTGCAGAAAAAAAAACAAAAAGTTCATTTCATTCAAGTAAATACGCTGAAGTACTCATCAGTCACTGTTCCGCTCTGTACTGTGATGCATCCACACATCTCTCTGTACCTTACACCACATTTTCACTTTATTCTATTCTTCTTGCCAGCCTGTTCTCTGGCATATCCCCCCTCTCATATGTGCAGTACCCTCTTTCTTTTGTTTTTGCTCCCCTGCCTGTCAGTGTGCACTGTTGTAAGAATTTAATTGCATTTGAATGTTCTGTATACTGAATGAATATGACAATAAATTTGATTTTCCTGAACGTGCCAGATGATGTGATGTGATATAGAAGCAGTGACCTCTCTCAGATGCTCGGCACTGCCCCATGAGGCAGAGCGTTTGTGTCCCACTCCACCTCTTCTACCACGGGTCTCCTCAGTCCAAGAACTGGGGGTCTATGGGAAGAGAGCACACATTCAAGGACAGTGCTGATTATAGGTTCATTTATGCTGCTTCCTCTCCTTATATACACAACAGACAAACAGCAAATGCTTAGATTTTGGGTTTTGGGTTTCTCATTGAAACACTGCCTTGGATTTCACTTTTTAAATGGGTTGACATGCTTAACGACAGTGCAGCTGTCCAGGACAACTTGCTGAACAAGTTACTGTGTAACATGTCTAATCTTGCCAGAACTGTTTACCATTGTGTTTCTGCTGCACCAGTTCATGAGGCTTCAACCAGCAAGTTCCACATCATTTTTCTACTACAGGCATAATTCATTTACCAATGAAGTCACTAACCTCTTATTACCCCAGTTTTGGATGGAACTGAAAGAGGTTGCCTCACCCTAGAGACTGCATTTGAATACTCTATGAAGAACATACCACACACCTGCTATGAACACCTGTGACACACTCACATAAACAGATGTACTAACACTAGCGTGAAGGAAAAATACTGCACTAGTGTAACAGTATATAGCGCAATGAACTGCACCCTCTGTCCCATTTACGCCACATATGTCAAGAAAACCACTTAATACCAACTAAAGGTGGGAGATATGACAAAAATATTGTCACCATAATTAGACATTTTCACGATACACAATATGTAACACGATATTTAGTTTTTTAAAGGTTTGCAAACAAGTTGAAATGGGCAAAATGCTCTAGCAAACCTGTAGTGCCATAATTTAAAAAAGGCTGTGAAGAACAATGAAAAATGAGCACAATTTTTTTTTATTCAACATTCATAATAATACACTGTATTATATGTTCCAAAGTTTGTAGACACCTGCTCATCCTATATTTCTTATGAAGTCAAGGGTATTAATAGGGAGTATGTCCCCACTTTGCTGCAGTACCAGTCCTGAATCGTCTGAGAAGACTGTACAGATGTTGGAACATTGCTGTAAGGATTTTATCGCATTCAGCCATAAGAGTATTACTGAGGTCAAGTACTGAAGTTGGATGAATAGTTTTGAATCACAAACATCACTCCAACTCATCCCAAGGCTAGTTTCCCAGAGAACGCAGTTCTACTGCTCCACAGCCCAATGCTGGAGAACTTCATACCCCTCTAGTCCACACTTGACATTGGGAATGGTGGCCTAAGGCTCATGTGTGGCTGCTCCAGAGCATCCCATTCTATTGGCAATGCTTTTATATGGATATTATACAAGCCACGAATGCCTGTATCAGCAGTCGGTGCACCTTGAAGTAGCTATTTGCTACTTTAGTATCTACTGAATAATTAGATAGGCTGTCTGGAAACTTTTGGACATTTAAGAAGTAACTGGAGGAAAAAATAAACAACTGGTGAAAATACAATAATAAAATATGATAATGGCATAATGGGTAGACAATTAGTCAACTACTTGTTACAGTCACTGTTTACATCTTTATTATCATTAATAATTGCATATTATTAGTAATAATAGAAATGAGCGAGACAATCATGACTTGGTTCAGCTTTCTCCAATCAGAATTATTTGCACCCCCACTGCTTCTGCATTCAGTAACACTGATTACATGCGTCTTATTCTCATGTTTAAACTGATGAATTGTTGAAATGAACAGCCAGAAAATAAAGCTTGGGTATTTTCATGTTTTTTGTCAATACCATTTGGGAAAGCCTTTGTTTGTTTGTTTGTTTGCGTGTGTGTGTGAGATTTTTTTGGCATTATGACCCTTTTTTGGCCGCAGCCCTTTCTAAATAAACAGTCCAAGCTTAGAAGAACACATTATTTTTACACCTCTACAAATTGAACATATTTTGCTTTTAACAAAGCGGTCACTTCATACTGAATAGGTAAACATTCTGGATACCATTAACTTATGTGACATCAGGTCACGTGCAAAACCTGGGTTGTACTGGGTTGAGTAATTGATTCATTTTGCGCTAACGAATGATTTGATATCAGTTTTACTACATATTATAATTGATCCCAATTTGACTTTTTTTCACATGCAGTTGATCTGATGACACCCGTGATATCCAGAAAAGCATATTGTTATGTAGTTCACCACACAAACTTTAAAATATCATCAAATTGCCCATCCCCGAGTACCAACCATCACAGATCCATTTTTAACTCTGTGGTGATACATTATTATTATTTTTTTTTTAAACCCTTAATTTGTTCCCCACACACACTAACAAGCATGCATATCCAAGCAGACACTCAGGCATACCGCCATGACAGCCCCCCGTGCCTTCGGTTTGTAGCCACAGACCCCGGATGACACACTGGGAGGAAGTGGCTGAGGGTCTGTCACAAAAAACTCAGCCTTTAGCGCAGCGACCGTTTAGCTGCACCGACACAAGCGTGACTCTGCTACAGCTGCATCACACTTCCTCCGTGTGTGCAAGTAAGTAGGTGAATATGAAGATGATAGTTAGAGCTTCTTCTTCTGAGCCAAAAAAGTTCCCAGCAGGTAATCAGATTCTGTGAGACGCTTCTTCTCGAACAGTCTACTGGTCACCGTTTCCTCTTTAAGGGTTCCACATCTTTGGCCTCAACCCAGACAACTTCTCACCATGGGGTCTTCACTGCACAGATCCTCTCTTTCTCCCTTTAGTATTGCAGCGTCTTGTAGCAGGAACATCTTACACTGAGGTCAAGACATGCCGTCATCGGTGTGCTATAAATTTAAAGTGCAAGAAATGGGTCACCCCCCTCCAAGGCAGCTTCATGAGACAGCAAGGCTGCTAACAGCCCTCATAAGTGGGTCTGGAGAGAATCTGGAGGTGGGACATGCAGGGAAATGTCATGTCCCCAACAAAGTGCCAATGTAGCACTGACTTTAAATTTAAACTCAACCCCCTTTCAACGTCCAGCCAAACCCCTGAGCCAGGACTTAATGAAATAAGGAGACTATGATCATTGGATCAGTGTCTATAAACAGACCAGCAGTATCTGGGGCCGGATGCAGATCTAGATGACTGGGGTAAAGTTTCAGAGGCCCCAAAAGAAGCATGAAGGGGTTTTGGGAGGTGTGGGGGTTTGAGTGCTAGTGGGTGATACAATAGAAGCAGCTCTTTAGCTTTTCTTTTGGTCCAGTTGTTGTGTTTTGGATGGTGTCTATGCTGGGAACTGCGTCAAGGAGGAAAAAGCAGTTCAAAATAAGTTCATTCATCATTGCATCAGTAGTGTAAGAGACTATGGGAATATGAAACAACACTGAAATACTGTTTATGTGTATGTATACACGAGAGACTTGAGGCCAAGCGAAGACCATGGAGGTCATGACAAACAAAACCTTCTCTTTCTGGTTGGCCAGTCATCGGTAGCCTGCTGAGCCGCACTGCAAGCTTGAACAAACCCCTGGCTCATGGTGTTTGGGGGGGGGGGGCAGCATGTGTTTTAACAGCATAACACTTCAAGAGGCCTGAGAGCGAACAGGCATGTTTAAAATGACATGAAGGCAGAATGAAGAGCGGTACATCTAGGATAAGCAGCACATTCCAACAAGCAATAGGCTGAGCGATGTGGACAAACATATTATAAAAAATATATGTTGCCAAATTGTATATGCATCTCATAATGCTGAATTGTAATTGCAGTGGGAATTTCAGTTTAATTTTAGAATTTGTATGGTATTTTTCAAAAGAAAAAAAAAATAACCCCTATAATATTTTTAGCATCAACCTATGCCACCACTGAGCAACTTCCTGCATCATCTAATGTCTAAAAGCTCCACTCAGCATCTATTACTCTATAATTGTTTCATTTTATCAAATAAAGTCCAGAATCACAGCACACAAAGCCACTGTAGGTGACTTGTGACTTGAAATGAGAAAGGTAACCAATGTCTTTTACCTCAACTGATGTTACTAATTTAGTCACATTGTAATTAATTTGTGATGTTTGTGAAGCGTTTTTTGATGTTGAAAGTTTTATGCCATCAAATCTACATGAGTAGTGTCTTAAACATGCCTAAGTTTGATGTTTATTGGAGAGTTTCTGCGATAGCCATGCATTTTACTATTTGTTGCACAGCACAGTACTTCTCTTCTGGTGTGTGGCAGCCTTTAGACGGCTTTAGTAATCTTTCTGTTTCTTTCTTTGGACTAAACATTAGATGCAGGCTCTACACTGCCCTCTTTGGGTGGTAGACTTTAGCCACCTGCAGTAGTCTTTGTAGAGAAAAGTTCATCTGCTTATCAAAAAATCCTAAATTACGATTTGATTTTTTTTTAAACTTTCATGACTATTTGAAAAATCTGACAGTCATATTTTGAACCCTCAGGAAAACAAAAGGCATATTCTGGCTGTGCTGGCTCCTTACCTGTTTTCCCTCAAACTCAAGGTCATTTTCACTCTCCATAATTTCTACACTGAAAACAAAGCTAGTTTGCCTTCTCTGCTAAATGTTATGTTAATACTATTGTGAGTAACTGGCTATGTTTCCTCTCCTTTCCTGTCTAGCAAGTAAAAGACACTTTTTCACCTGGTGTTCTGCAGTAGCAATGAAATTCAAGTCTTTACAGGGGATGTGCACCGTTACTTGAGCGCTCTGTTAACTGTATGAGGAGTCAGTATTCAAATACTGAAATCACTATTTGGGTTTTCAGTACATAAAATGATGTGGAACGAAGTTTAAAAGATTTTACCATCATTCCCGATTCCTGCACGTTTAAGTGCCTATGTCTTTGACAGACAGCTCTCAAGTCCCACTTGATCTTCTTGGCCCTCCAATTACTGCTTAGCAACTGTTTCTATCTGCCATACGCTCAGTTAAGTCTTCAGTTCAGCCAGCACGCCAGGTTTTGAATGTAAAACTGCAGATATGGTGATAAAATGTGCCTGTACCAGACTGAGGGACTGAAGGATGCCATTTTCTACGCATTTCCAAACATATAACAGAAATGAAAAACACTTCTGGATTAATCTGTGTGGTTAACCTCACTATCAGCTGGACTTGCTTGTCATAGACACTGTCTGCTCAAAAAGTCAGTCATTTCATTTACTGGTTAGTGGATGAGTTAGTTTGACTGAATAATAATCGAGGTGTAAGAAAATACTCCTGCAAAAAGTCTTAAGCCCAGTAGACCAGCAGAGCTTGCTGTCCATTTTGGATACTACAAATGCTTTTCTGTTACAGCCTGTCTTGTGGCACGTTTAACTAATTAACATATGAGTTTGTTGTGGTCGTTATCTTGTTGAGTCACATTTAACTGGCTGCCAGCTGCTATGGGAATCAAGATTAAGCAGAAATATACATTGTTCCTGTATAATTATGCATTGTCAGAATTATGCATTGTTCCTGTGAAAGTAATTGTATTTAAAAAAACGCTTCAATCACTGTCAACTACCAAGATACTATGATATTTGTATTTGACAGCAGTGTTATTTACATTACAAGTTTGACTGGTGATATCTCAGAATAATTACAATAACACTATTTTGAGAAAAGGTAATCTGACTGTGTAATGTGGTGTAACGTGATGTTCTTTTTGAATACTAGCTGTTGTTACAGTTGAGGAGTTATGCTGTAGTTGCCCCTCTAAGGGTCTCTGCATGGGCTTGCATAAAAGCATGATATTTATAATGAACATCCAAACACTGAAACATGATGAGGAGTCACCAAATAGAACAAAGAAATTATATTACCTAAATATGTACTCAGTAAAACATTTATAATGTCGCCACTGCCGCCAGAGTTAGATCCAACTCAGCTTAAAGTTAGCTGGATGTGAAATACTGCACCCTGACTCAGACTCCTGGATCAAGAATGCTGAGGAGAGTATCTGTAAATTAAACTATAACTTACCCCAAACAAACATCATCAGCAATATACGATTTAGGCAGTTTTATGTATTCTTTAATTTCACAGTAAATCAGGTAGAAAGATGGAGGAACAAAATAAAATCCTTCTTAGGGCCTCCAAAAGACTAGAGCTCATCAGCAGCCAAAGCTGTGCCGATTAGTGTCAGCTTATCAGCTCATCTTAAGAGCTACTGTTACTCATCAGACACAAAACCTACCAATTTCTCTCAGCCATTTTTGAATAATAAAACATGTTTTCAAATTTTAACCTCCAGTCCTCCAATACCGTTGTCTAAAAAGTAAGCCTACAGCCCTATGCTAATTTTGGTCGAAGTCTGTTTGTAAACTTTTCAGATACTCGAATATGAAATTAGTCAGAATGCACACCGCTGCTGATACTGGAATGAGGGACAGAAGACCATAGTTATTTGAAAAATACATCAAAAGTATACCACTGCTGTAAAAAAGTTGATTTTGCTAATTATTATTAGCATTTTATTGCCCATGCCTAACTTCAACCATCAAAAACTATGCAAAGTCTGTCCTCCAGAAAAAGATCGTAAAAACACATAACTTATACCAGTGACCACTGCATAGGACGTCCCAGTAGGGGGTTCTTAGACCTTTTTGTCAGCTTCACAGAGCAGAAATCTGACAGTCATTTCTGGGTTGCCCACCAAGCCCATGTGGAACCCATTTAGAAAGAACAACATGGCTGTTCCTCCTAGCTGAGTTTTCACAAAAACCTTCCACGATCAACCCTGAGCTGCTCAGAGGAAAGTGCTCTGCTTTATAACCAGTCTGCTTGCTTCATAAATCAAACAGACTGTCCTCTGGCGATGCCATGAACATTCCTTTTAAAGCAGCACTTGGTGAGATTTGATACAGCGTCTCCAGGGGCCTGATTTATCAAAGCTTTTATTCTATGTTACATTTCACTGGCATGATAAATGATTTGAACATTTCTCTGCTTCTCCAACCAATCATATTATCTCTGGCTGATCTGTTAGCCTAAAATCAGGCCCGCTGAGTATTGTTCTCACAAGATCAATTCAACACGTTGCCTTAACACCTTTTCCACGTATAGCAAAGGAACAGAATGTCTGATCTGTGTGGTTTTCTGTTTGAGTAACAGAGGCTGGGTAAGTGGGTGAGTTACCTGTGTGGCTTTGTCATTGACACAGGTTACATTCTGACTTTCTGGCTGTTTGGGCCAGTGGCCCTGCAGGTACGGCCCCACCAGCGTGTCCAGCGAAAGAGTCCGTCGCAGCGTTGGCTTCGGAGGACGAGCCTTTGTCTTGCACTCAACTGGAGGAAAATGGGGGCACATTGATGAAAAACTGCTTAGAAAATGGTGCTAAAAAGAGCCCTAATGTTAATGCAGAAAAGAGAGGTATCCTTATGAAAATGAAATAGTCATATGTTGTCAGTATGCTACAAATATTAAATTTACTGTAGAAATCTGCAGTGTATTTTTCCACCCCTTCAAAGTTCAGCCTTAAAAGTTGCATTTTCTGCTTCTCACAATCCAAATAATCCCTATAACAAATTTAGACTCATCTGTCTATAAAACCTTCCTCCCCATCTCAGATGTCCAGTTTCAGTGTTCTAGTGCCAATTTTCTTCTTTTTTCTATTTCCTTTTCTCAGTAACAGCTTCTTGACAGCTACACATCTGTTCAGACTTATAGTATTGAGTTGTCTTCTTACAGTGGAAGGATGGACAGAAACACCTGTGGATTTTTTCAGATCTGAAGCAAAAGTGAAGCTTAATTTTCTCTCAAAGATGAAAGCTTTAAATACTGTTTATCTGATGACAGTTTTGGTGGTTTTTCACGTCTTGCACGGTTGTTACGTGTCCCATTTTCCCTCTATCTTTTAATAATGTTTTGAACAACAGTTTTTTTTCAGATTTGTTTTCTTTGACTTACTCCTTTCTTATGCAAGTGGATACTTATATTTAACCTGCTCAGAAATTTCTCATTTAGCCTTTTTAGATGTACATGAGAAAGGAATCTGCAAGGCAGCTGTGTTGGGTAGCTGCTTGTGTGAACGTCAGTGGCTCCTTCGAGAACAGATTTTGTTGGGAGGACATGGAAGTGGCAGTACAGGGTGAACAAAACTAAAGAGTGGACAAATTAAATTCTGATAGATTTGATATTATACTACCAGTGTTGGAGGCTATATATATGTTTTCTGCTTTTTTCTTATTCTGCAAAATTAATAACTTGAACTTGTAGCCATTTTGACTGGAAATTAAACAAACAAGAGTTGTTTCTCACTTTTCCACAGTACTGTATACCAAAAGGTTGTTGTATAGTTATACATGATTCATTGTACTAAATAGCCACCTCTTACTTTCAAAGTTGCTGTTTACTTGATATATGCTATTTAAATAGGCAAATTGTTTTTTTTCATTTACAAATTTCAAATGGCAGTTTTGCCTGTGAAAGAGCAAATAAATGTTATTTATATGGCAATTTTGGCTTATAGAAAGTACTGGAAATGTGCATGTCTCTTGTGTTTAATTAGCCCATGTAGCCTAAATATTTCACAACCCAGATTTGAGTCAGAAAGTATGGAATAATGTACAAAGTATGGTCTCTTCTCCTTTTTTGTACAAAAAATGCACTGAAAACTTTTTGTTCATCAAATTTTATATGTTATGTTTAAAGTTGAAAGCACACATTTTTCTTGATGTGTATTCTCACAAATTTTTCTTGATGAAAGCGCAAACAGATTTCTTTGAAATCAAGACACAGGCCTATATGTATGAAACCTCTCAAAGTGAAAATGCTGATCTAGGAACACAGGCTACTACTTTGATATAACTCTGAATAAAATGGTTGAGACCTGGGCTCATATTGACGAAGTTTCTTAGTGGGGATGCACAATGACATCAGAATCATATTTGTGTAAGAAGATGTTTGCTTAAAAAACAAATATCAGCATCGGGCAGATATTCAGATTTAACTGATAGTTCAAGCCAATGTTTATTTGCCTATATATGACGTATTCACTATACTCTGGAAGAGCACAATGTTTAATCTATGCTAATCTGTGCTGAAATATATGCATTTTATTCATTTTAGTGCATTTGGACACAAACTTCCACATTTTATAAATATCATCAGCAGATATGTACATGAAAAATCAGATATCAGTACAGGGCCACAATTCTTATATTAATATATTCATACTTATCCAAATAAGAGGACAAGTATGAATATATTGATATAATCCAGGATCTGCTCTTGTTTGGAAGGTCATAGTAAGTATCTGATCCTAGATCAGCGCTCCTACTCTGAGAGGCTTAATGAAGACAAGCTCAGATCATAGATCAGTATTCTCACTGTGAGATGCTTGATAAATATGGGCCCTGGTCTGGTTACTAGTGGGCAGTGACTGTAAAAGCTAATAAAAAAGTCCTGAATAACCATCTTTGTTTCCAGTAGCCACCTGCCACTCTGGCTGTTACGAATTTAGAATTTGGAGTCCAGTAAACATTAAAAACTCAAACCACATTTTTAACATCACTTTCGAGCCACACAGTGGCTCTAATATTTCACACAGATGTTGTTTAGGCTTAATGGTATGACACAGAACAACCCAGCTCACGGCCACCAAGTTGATATTTAGGCTCCACAGCAGCAGCTCTCTAACCAGCCTTTGCGGTTACACCGTGCCTTTATTCATTGTACTGCTGAAGACGTACTGCTAAGAGCTAAAAGCTCAATTGTCACCAGCAGATGTTAAACCTCAAGCGTGTGGTGTTGAGTAGGTTGCAAAACACTGCAAAAAACCCCGTGTACTGTTCTGCACAGCTCAACTTATCCCCATCCCAACCCCCCCCCAGCTCCGTTCCCCATGAGCACAGTGAGCTGGCTACTAAAATAAACACGCGCTGGCACATGGACTTGAGTTACACAGCTCGGGTAAGACCAGAGCAGAAACATAACAGTCAGACGTGCTAATATACACGGCCTCTCACCTGATGGAAAATCAGATGGGCCAACAAATCTACTGAAGCTTTATCAATAAACATAACGGTTTTGTGTAATACTGTCACTTTCTAATCTTGACACAACTGCTGACCCAAAAAAGCTTGACCTAAATAGCCAAAAGTGAGCGTTTAGTACTTACAAGAAAGGCCGTAACTGTTTTTGGGGTCAATGTCCCGGACACATTATGTCCTCGGTCTAACCTGAAAAGCAGCCTAATTTTCAATGAAGAATTTGGTCTTGCACTAAGATTAGCCTGTCAAGAGAAATGTTCCACAATCTGTTTTGAGACTTCAAGACCCTTTTTATGCAAAAGAAAGAACCGGGGTGTCATTTTCAGTAACTTGAGGCCCACATAATGATCCTTCAAACCAAGGCCTAAAATACTTTTTGGAGAAATTAAGCAGCCTGATGTTAGTACACTCTTTAAAAAGATGGTTCCTCAAAAGTTCTTTGGTAAATACAATGGTTATAACAGAACTATGAACACTCAAAGAACCCTTTGCATGCTTAAATGGTTCTTTGCATGGTGAAAACTTCAGATTGATGGAGAATATAATGCCAAAATGGGTTCTTCTATTGTTAGCTTGACATTGTATCTATAGAACTCTTTTTGGTTCTATACAGAACTATTTTCAAAAAGGTTTTTACATAGAACCACGTACAACACATTAACCATCAACCTGAAGAACGTTTTCACCATGCAAAGAACCATTTAAGCGTGCAAAGGGTTCTTTGAGTGTTCATGGTTCTACATAAAACCATTGTCTTTACCAAAGAACCCTAGAAAACCCTTTTTTTAAAGTGTAGTCTTGACCTAAGCAAAACAACATCTCCTGAATGTGAATTTAGCTATAATACAGGAATGGTATAGGAAGCAAAATAAAAAAATACTCCAACATTCCTGCTTGCATGTATAACTAGCAGTTCTCAGTCCTGAGATCTCCATAATAGCACCCAACCCCCAAACAGCCCTAACTCTTCAACTCCTGGCTGAGGAGTTCTTGCCTGGGTCCAAGAAACTGGCTAGTATTGTTACATGCAAAGCCAAAATCTGCAAAATACTACACCTAATTGAGGTGGCATGGTGAGGAAATTTCTAATTATTTGCAATTTTGCAGAGATGTATGCACAAATCAGTCTTTGTTAAAATGCTGCCACATCAGCCACTTAAATAAAATGCTGTGTCAACAAAGTGTCATATGGGCACAGCTTTAAGAGTGTAAGTTAACATAACTCAGTTTATTCTGACAGTTGTTACAGTGAAAGCTGGGGTATTCCCAGACACTAAGCCTTCTGGAGATCTCTAGTACTACAAGTACCACAATAGCATGGCTTTCTTTCTGTTTCTCCTTCACAATGTGGGTGAACTTTAAAAGCTACTACTTGGATTGTTGAGCACTACAAATACTGCTTCTATAGAAATCAAGTCAAAACAGTTAGACTAGATTAGTGTTAACCAAGACACTGTTGAGCATGAGAAGAGCACAGAGACTGAAGATAATAAAAAGGATACTGACACATGTGAACAGCCAGGCTTTAAAAGAGCTATCAGCTCTGTCCATACCTGTTAGTGCATCTCTGCAGCAACGTGGTGGGGTTTTATTGTGGAGCTGGAAGGGAACAGTAGCTCTGAGAGGCTGGAGACCCTGACTGCCCCCCCGGGCCTTTCCACTCCAGCACGACATCCCCAAAGTACACGAGCTGGCAGATCTCTCTCGGTTTGGGCTCTCACAAAGTTTAAGAACCTCCAAAGTTCCCCGCTATTTGTCTCAGGAGCTGCTTCAGCTAGTGGAGGTCTCTCGGTAACTCCATACAAAGAGATGTTTGTGATGTTAACGCTAGCTCACTCGCTAGCAGGCAGCTAATTTCTTTTGTGAAGATAATGATTCAACAAAACTCCTTTAAAAACTTTTTTAAATGAAAAAAATCCTGTTACTGTGTTTTACGGAGCAGCTGTCTGTAACAGACCCAAAATATGAACGCACCGCCCGTTTAGTGAGTGTTAACACGCAGCCTGACCTGAATATGTTATAGTTTGTGGAGCTCGTCTACATTGTTGGTTGCCTGCCAGTTTCTTCACTATCTGACAACAGCCAGCCTACATACTCATGTGGGAGAGGGCGTGTCTAAGCACATGTCCTCAATCTGATTGGCTGCTGCAAAATACTACTTCCATCCTATTGGTCGCTGCAGCTATCGATCGTGTCGGGTTGGGCGTTAAAATGCAGCTGTCCCCGCCCACATTGCTAACTCTCATGTTTTGCAGTTCGAAATACGATTGTGGTTCACAAAGTCAGGCGAGATGCTTATAAAAATTCCTGCAATTCCAATTTTAGTACATTCTTAAAAAAGATGGTTCTCCAAGGGCTCTTTAATTTAGACAATGGTTCTATATAAAACCATGTAAACACAAAGAACCAAGCTTAAATGGCTCTTCAGATTCATGTGTTGTATATGATTCTGTATAGAAAATGGTCTGCTATGGTAACAACGTCAAGCTTGTAAAAACAGAAGAGCCCTTCTTGGTGCTATATAGAACCAAATTTCAAAAAGGTTCTCTATAGAACCATATACAACATATTCTACATCAATTTGAAGATCCATGTCACCATGCAAAGAACCATTTCAGCTTGCAAATGGTTCTTTGAGTTTTCATGGTTCTATATAGCACCATTATCTCTACTAAAGTACCTTTGAAGAACTATTTTTAGATTTTCCCATTTCCTCCAAGGTGGAGTATTTGCAAAAGAAAAACAGAAGCAGTGTTTAAATAGAAAAAACACTGAGCGACATGATTACTGCTGCACTCTGAGAATGTTGTGTTTCAGTGTATTTTCTTATGTTTTGGTGTGTGCAGACAAACAAAACCACTAAGCTACTGAGACTGCATACATTCACTGACCACTTTATTAGGCACACCTACCTTCTATTTACACACTTCGTCCATTTGTTCAGGTCCACGCATACTTTAGCCTCAGTACCCCGTTCATCAATGGTCTGAACTGTCTCAGAGGCCTCACTGAGCAGATATTATTTGTGTGGTGGACTGTCTTGACAACTCAGTTTAAAAAAATGATCAATTTAATTGTACATTCTTGATGAGTCGGCTTGGAAATTAGGATACAAGTTGTATGATAAACAGGGTATCCACAGGTCATTATGAAGCCATATTTGCATGTATTATTATTCTCCACTAGGGGGAGCTAACACATGTGCACCACTAAAAGAGGAAACCCACACCAGCAGATCACTAAAAAATGCACAAATGTTTGTTGTTACAAATTACCTGTATATAAAGTAAAATTAAATTATGTTTGCTGGTTCAAATTGTATACATATAATGTTAATAGTTTTTGGTCTAGGCCTTTTTCAGTGAAGTATTTTGGAATCTTTAAAAGCCTCTGCATAGTATTTCATTGTTTTCACACACACACACACACACACACACACACACACACACACACACACACTTACTAAACCACGTATCCTTCTGGGTCATGGGGTATTTCATTGTTTAATTAGGGGTTAAGGCTATTTTCATTGTTTGACCTCAAAAAAAAAACTGAACTAGTAAATTATTATTCACTAAATTACTTGATTATTCATGTAATCGACAGTGACAGCGCTACAACAGTGATATTGCCATGGTGGCATGTTAGTATGTATTATGCTGGTACAAATGGATCAGACACAGCAGTGCTGCTCAAGTTTTTAAACAGTGTCCACATTCTGGTCACTCTGTTAGACATAGATATATTAGATTTATTGTTACAATATTTGATATATTGTTGGTCAACCTTGTAGATGTAAAAAGTTAGAGGCTCAAATGGTAAGTGTACCTACTAGTGTCCAGTGAGTGTGCTTCAACATTTACATTCTGTTCAACACTGAACTTAATATAAGGAGACTATGTATTGTTATGTATTACTATTACATTGTCAGAAACAATCAAGTTTGAGAGAGTGAATCACCCTCCTTACAAATGTACTGTAACTTACTGACTCTGTACAAAAAAAAAAATACTCATCACTTAGAGCATCTAGCATGGAAAACAGTGCCACCGGCTGCTTGATGTCAGTAACAAGTACAGTCCACCAGAGGTCACCTCCCTCAAGGCAATGAGACTCTATTTAACTCTAACAGGGCAAGATACAAGTTTTTAAGTTGGTTAAGAAGGGTCAAATTTGCCATTACACTGTTGGGTACAGGGGTGTAGTGGGCTGGGGTGGGGATTTGGTAAAAGTTTTTTCAGTTACTTCACAAAACATTTAACAAAATGATATTTGTTTCAGAGAAAAATATTTCAGAACAACATCAAACTGATGGTAGACTCTTAGTGTGGAGAAAGCCTGGAAAGAATTCCAACCACACTGCACTATGAGTGCTGTAAAGCTCAGAGAACGAAACATCAAAATCTGGGACTGTTTTTTTATAATGGTGTTAGTGATATTGTGTTCGTTGATACAGTTGTTAACTCCAAAGTGTACGAATACAATTTAGATATAAACATTGAGACAATGCACATAATACATTTTTAAACACGGCACAAATGTCCAAATACTTTCTGGGGCCACCATACAAACCATAGCATGAAAACTACAAGTTATATTGGGTGTTACTGTACAAATGTAACTCAGTCAGTTTATATCTTTAAATTCATCCTTAACCCAGCAAAGAAAGATGATAGAAAATATGCAGACAAACTAACTGAGATAACCAAAAGAAAGACCATTTTATTGCCAAAAAAGACAAAAGCACTGCCACTACATAACAAAATATATAATATGTATAAACAAAGCAGCACAACTCTTCAAGCCAATCAAGCTGTACAAACATAACAGAGCTATAGAAGGTCTAAGTTTACATTTGCTGCTGCCCACACTCACACACACAACGCCAGGCATAACTGTTGGTGGCACAAGCACATCAGGTCAGTGAAGACATTTACAGTCATTCTGAATGGAGGTCAGTTCTCATGCAGACAAACAAGCACAAATTCATAAATTCATTCTCGCCTATTCTCTCTCATCATATGATCATTCTGCATGGTGGAGAATGTAAGAGAGCTTATATGGAAATTACTACAAATTCACTAGGGATGGAGGGGGGTTACATCACCGTTCACGCTAAAATCCAACACTTTCTCAGCACAGGCTGAGCAAGGCGTCCCTGACCAGAGCAGATAGGCTCTTTCCTAATGATGAGCGAGAAATAAATTTGAATGAGTTGGAGAAGGAGGAGTGACGCATTTCTAGTCAGAAAGGGGGAGGAGTCATGTTTCTTTCCACTAGTTAGGCTGAACTCTGACCCCCCCTAGCTGGGGGACAGTGCAGGGCTGGGCTCCGTGCTGATGTTGACCAAATACTCGCTGGATTTGAGGCTAGCCAGGGACTTGCAGCTGGGGGAAGAGGCCAAAGACCCACACAGGCCCAGCATAGATGGAGTAGTGTCTTTAGCTGTGAGAAGAGACAGAGGAAAAAAAAAAACAAAACAATCTTAATCACATGCAAGCAGCACAATTCCTCACCCACAGTGGAACTGGCCGACCTGCAGTTCATCACCTACTCATATTTCACCCACTGAGACAGCAGCTAGCTTATAAACGCAAACTGGGTCTCTGTAGGCCACAAGCTTTTAAATATATGAGTGTGTGTATTTACCTGCTGAGCACCAGGCAGACTCTCCATTCTGCTTCTCTTCTGTCTTAACAGAATCTTTTGAGTTCAGACTGACCTCACTGGAGAAGGTCAAACTATGAAAACTTCTCCTAAACAAATGCAAACACACACAAAACATGAATACGGTTTCATACAGATGCATTGTAAGATCTCCGGACAAAGAAAAGAGTTGCAAGACTATATTAGTCTCGTGAGACAACTAGCCCAACTTTGTGCCTCGTGTCTTTTTTGTGCACCTGAGCAAAACACAACAATTAGATTTCCACATTCCAGGATAACACCTGCAGGGTGTCTGTGTGTACCTGGTTTACCAGATATGACAGAACACTGGGACAGTTTGACTGATCAGCAAAATCACCAGATTTCAATCCCAAATCTTAATGTGAAACAGAACGTGAAATGCTGAAGTAAGCACCTACAAAGTCTGGCTGAAATGTTCATCCAATTTTTGGAAAAGAGGAATAAAAGGGACAAGAACTATCTGATGTAATCCTTACCTGTCAGAATTGATGCTGTTATTCAGGCATGTAAACAAGTATTAGAAAAGAAATGATGCCTGCAACTATTTCTTTGTCCAGAGAGCTTTTTTTTTTTTGCACTGTCCTAATACACACACTTACCGGCGAAACAGCTTTACGTCCCCTTGGTTGTTGGCAGCCCGCATTGATGGCCAGTGGTTGATTAAACAGACACACTGTTTTTTTGGCAAATGGGCTGATTCACACGGAATCACACCAGTCCTGCAGGACACATTATGCCAATACAAAATAAACGGAACAGAAAATAGAAAAAAGAGAAAGAGAGATCACAAAAATGTGGGGGCAGCAAATGGTATGCATAAGATTCCATTCCACAGTGAGAGATGGTGTTTATGTTCCTATGTTTTTGCATTGCATGTGTTTCTGTGTGAGTATGTGTGACTGCATGCATATGTCTCTTATCACACGTATGTACCAGGGATGCATCAATCATGAATTTTTATGGAAAATTTGCTGATTGTATGTTTTATGCAAAAATCTGCAGATTATCATCTTGGCTGAATCCAATCGTGCATCCCTAGTGAGTACACATGTAGAAGTTCTAAGAGTTTATGTACAGTTGTGCCTGTAGTTCTAGTATGATGGCCTCCAGCTCTTTCTTCTCCTGTTGGCTTTGGACCTGCAGATCCTCCAGTTTAGCATTTAGTCTCTTATTCTCCGTCTCCACATTCTTCAGCTGTGACTCTCGCAACCGAACCAACTCCTCCAGATAGCCCTGATTATAATCACAATTAAAATATACATCATATGAATGACATGCACTGCTTATGAACAACTATACAGCACTGAATAATTACATTAGAAAACAGGAGAATGGAGTCTAGGTTTACTTTTATACATGTACATCAATGCATGTGTTTGTGTATGTTCACCTTCTGAGCATAGACAATCTTGAACCTCTGCTCCATCTTGCGGCACTTGGTGCTCCAGCTCTCCTCGTCAGTGACCAGGGGAATGTAAGGATGCTCAGCTACACTGTCCTCACTCGCACTGCTGTCCACACTGCGCCGGTCCTCTTCATCACTCAGGTAGTCATAGCTACAGAGAGCAACAGCATCACTTTCTATATCCTTCCTATACGCATATCCTAAATTTTCACTTCAACGCTTTACACTGTATAATGTATTGTCATATAATATTGTCATGTTCAGTATCTTAGTTTGTCTTTCTGAATATTTGCAAATCAAACTGATTCATTTGTTGAAGTCTGATCTGCAGGCTTGCAAAACTACAGTCTTGCAGGGCAAGACGTAATCTTGTGACAAGAATGTCTGGGGACACCAAAGAAAAATGTTTGGCTAAATGTGAGTTTAGCTCAGTCCTCAATGGTGCCCTACAGAGCAAGAAACCTTCAAGGTGCTTGATTTCAATGTACACATTTAGGACAGACTTGTGCAACGTGCAGACAAATGCCACGCACACCATTTCGCTCATAGTCTTTTTTTCTTTAATGAGCTAATTTGCTGATCTACAATATCTCAAGTCTGATGACAAGAATGCAGTGCAGCTCACTGACAAGTTACATTAATAAACAAATACATTTTTGCTCACATGTGTAAATCATACTATCTTCCATGCTGGTCAGGCAGCTGTAAACAAAACCTTCCACTCCGATTGGTCTTCGCCTGTATCTCACGGAATTTTGGCTAACAGGCCGCTGCTGAGTCTGCAATGACGCAGTCCTCACCAAAGTCTGCGGTAAAGGCCCATAGAGGGCACTTCTGAGCACCTTTTCAAATGGCAAAATGAGAAACAGGACACCCTACAATCTCACGGCCCTTGTGCACCAGCAACTGTGGACTGCAGGACCACGACTGTGCCATTTGGGAGTGGGCGTTTAACAAGTTGTCCCCAGACATATATTCTCATTATGAGATCATGACTGGCCTTGTGAGACTAGCAAAACCACAGCAAGGGTCACTAGGGGTTAGACTACTTTATTATGGGACATGTATATATGTAAATATATGTATATGTTATGGCATCATAGAGGAGAAAGAATCCATCAGTGTGTTTGAGTTTAACAAGGCAAGCATAGCGCATCATGCAAGCACCTCTCACCTCTGGGTAAATTTCAGGTAGGGTGTGTAATCAATCACAGCTGGTGTCTTCCCATCTAATACCTCTCCCTTCAAGCAGAAACTGAGAGAAACAGAGAAAAGAGAGAGAGAAAATAAGATAATTAGAACATTCACATGAGTCTCTGTGGGTCACACCTCCTTCAGTGTTTAAACATCATTAATGGTTTCACATCACAGATTTGTGGAGTAAAACGTGAATCACGATGCAGTACTAGACACAGGCTGTAATGTTTGTCTCATTCAGTAGAGTGTAAAGAGGTAATGCATTGCCTTTCTACAAGCATTCTCACCTGAAGTCAATGGCACTGAGGCCAATCAGCATCCCTGTCAGGACTGTAGCTTCCTCTCTAAGCATAATGGCACCATCATCATAAAACCTCCTGCAAGCCACACACATAAACAAGGTTCTGTTTTCATAGCAGGCCAGACTGGTATAGGTCCAAAAAGACAAATGTAAATTTCTACAACAGTCATATAAATTTTTAAAGAGAGTCCTGCATTGTATTCACAAAATGTTTTGTACTTTTAGACCGTTCAGTGTTACTCACTCAACATACTTAGTGTTCTTTGGGCTACAGTTTCTTTTATGTAATGTCTGAACAGCTATAAATAATTCAAGGCTGTTCTAACCTGGTGGTCCGAGTATCTCTTAAGGCTGTGGCGATGTATTCAGATAGACGCTTCTCCATGAGAGCCATGCGGATCCATGCCCGGCCCTAAAATAGGTGGGAGGAGAAAACATCAAAGATAAAGGAAAGTTGACATATAGCCAAAAGGTAAAAGCGAACTACAAAGGAGGTCAGAAAAAAGTGAAGCACTCAGAAATGCAGCAGTATATCCATCCCATACAGGACTAGACAAGAGCATGAAATTACATATTTCCACATTTAGAGTCAGAATTATGGAATTTATCTTTATTATTCAGGGCACTGAGTAAGAAGACAAAGGCAGAGACAGAAGAAGAGGTGAGACCGCTAATTATAGTCAGGAGGAGAGAGAAAGTGTTTACTACAGACATATGAAGAGGCAGTGACTCTTGCCTTGGCTCGGGAGGTGCTGATGTTTTCAATGTTCTCAATGCTGCTGATGCAGTTGTTATGGACTTTACTGCAGGCCAGACGCACATAGTCCCAGAAACTTCTCTGTCCATCTGAACTGAACCAGCCCCCAGGGCCTGACACAACAGCATAAAACTTGTATAAAAATGAGTCCATGTTCACTTTCACACACATGAAAGCACAAAATTAAGCTCATGATTTGACTTTTTTGACTGATTTGTATTAGCCATTTTTTAAATACCTAATGCTCACACTAATAAATTAAATCCATAGACACACTAGTACATTTCCAGTGCTTTCTATTAGCCAAATTTGCAATAAAAGTAACACTGTTTTATTGCTGTTGCCGTCAATCAAAATGGTAACGTTTCAGAAGGAAAAAAAACCTTAGCTTTGAATAAAAGTTAATGGAACCAATTTTTTTTCCAAGTAATTTTTAATTCATCATTTTCAATTACAATTCATCATGAAATTTTACCACAGTGTAAAAAGCATCTGGTACCAAAAAACTGGAAATATATGGTTTTGTTAGTAACAATTTAAAATTGAATGGACTAAACTGCCATTTTAAATTTGTAAATGAAATTAAATAAATCCCATGGTGTACTTACATAACACAAATCAAATAAACATACATTAGTTCTACATTAGTAAGTAGGAGGCAACTGGCTATTTAGACACAATGAGTCATACATAATTAGGTTACAACATTTTGGTATATGTGTAGCAGCAGCATTCAAATACATCATGAGTCCATTTACTTGACTTTTATTTGTCATAAAACTGCAACACAGATCAACCAAAATCAAAATAATGATAATAATATAATAATCACTCAGCTGACTGCTGATTGTACGTTTGGAGCAAAAATCTGCTAATTCCTGTCTTGGTCAATTCTTATCGTACATCCCTAGTTTGCGAATGTGTGGGTGTCTATGGTTTTACCTTTAAAGCGATGACTGAGAATGTGCTCCAAAATAGCAGCAAAGTTAACAAACTCCTCTGATGAGTCATCAATGGGTTCAGCCGTGTACTTCTCCAGTAAGGTCTTTACTGAAAACCTGAAATAGATGTATGAAAAAGCATACATAAGTTTAAAGAGAAACACTGCACATAGTGATCTCTCTGTCTCTCACTCACACACACACACACACACACACACACACACACACGTGCACGAACGCCTCAGCTCTCCATTCTAAAGGACTGGGAGCTTTTGGGAGTGGTGCCATGGCAGGCCACTGAGGTCACCCCCAATTGTCCTGTGTGCTACACAATGCGCCTCTTCAGATGTTCTGCCCCATTACCACAGCAACAATCACAATCAGAGTCCTTGTGGGGCAACGCTACTGCCGGCATTACGACCTTTGTTCATTTGCCTGGGTTCCTTTCCAACCTCTGGGTCTGCTTTTTTTTAAGATCAGCTTCACAGAAAATGACAGAATACCCTAAACACAAACACCCACACACTCGTTCTCTCCTCCCACTCACTCTACGAACAGTCGCCTGATCTATTTAGGGCTGCTCTCAGAACTGGTACAGTTTGCCGCTGTGGATCTCCCCCCAATCTCGCAAGGCTTTCATACACAGGCCAACCTGCAGGGCTCTGGCATGCAGGAACTGCTCTAGCCCACACAAGCAAAATACAGAAGAAACAGTGGATTGGCAGTACTTTCCAGAGTCGACACCCTTCATGCCTTCATGGGGAACACCAGCATCACTGAAGGGAAGACGGCCCTGTCTCTGGGTGGCTCTTCTATAGCCCGGGGCAAGACATCCATCACCATGGGCAAGTCTTCCATCACCCGCGGGGTCACTACCACCTCTATGGGGGATTCCACCATCACCCGAGGCAAGACCACTATCTCTTTTGGCAGAGCCAGCTTCAGCCGGGGCAAAACCACCACCTCCTTCCGCAAGGCCCTAATGCCCAAGCGCCGAACGACTTAGATGGAAAAGAGCTTTGCAAGCGTCATGAGGAGCAAGAAGAAACCAAAAGCGAGAGAGGCAACCGTAAACAACGAGGCAACAGAAACACAGCAAGAAACAGCGGGAAGGGGCTCAGGAAGCATAGCATCCATTTTGATGAGAAAAACCTCCTTCATAAAAGGGAAAACTAAACTGCTAAGAAGCAAGAACGCCATCTCATGGGGAAGGACCGCTGTCTCAAGAAGCAAGACCAAACTGAGGAGGGGGGAAACTGCGTTTGCGGTGGGTACAACCACAGTTACACATGGAGAGACCACTAGCTCCTTAAGTAAGGCCACCTTAAGTCAAGGAAAGAAGTCAATAACTGTAATAAAAACGCTCCTCAAAAGAGGCAAAGAAACTCAATGGAACCTCTACTGGGATTTTCATCTCTGACTGAAACACACAAAACATGAACACATATACACACAGACTTTGGGATAAAGAATGCTCAAGCAGGTTAGTTGCTTTGTGGGACGGAAGTGTTTTGCATGTCTGCTCAGATGATTTTCTAGTGTAAAGGTTTACTGTGCCTTAAATCAGCTTGGAATCTGGTATGAAATTTTCGTTCCTGAGTTGGAATATGATCGACAAGTGCAAGCTGATTTAAAGAAAACCGAATAATGTGTGTGATGGTTATTGAAATGATTCTAATGTCATATGGCAGGTTTGACGCAAGAGCTTGTCTGTAGTGTGCTGGCAGGATTTCAGTCTGAAACAGCTGGTATGGTGTAATGTGCACACACCCAAGAGGCATGTGTCTGAAGAGAACCAATAATACAAGACACTGTTTTCCAGAGGCAGTCTTGTCATGTAAGGCAATAGTGCAGATGCTTTACATGACTTGACCAACACATAGTATGTGAAACCACTGAAATACATACAGCATAATATATGTTTGGTGCCTGGTCTGGGCACGTTTTAATGTATCAAACAGTCTAATGTAACACTAATATCCATTGGGATAACTAAAAATACAGGTTAATAAATTGTACCTCAAAATAGCTAAAAGTTTGGGAATTTGGAATTTTTCTTTGTTCATTTTTCTCTATATAGGAAATCCAATATGTGACCATCTCAGCAACCGAAGATATCAGCTATGTGGGGCTCACTTTGTAAAAAAGAAAAGCAAATGTTGGGATACTCTGTGAAATTAAGAATTCGATTAAAATTGCTTTTAAATGTGTCTTCTTGACATGCTAACAAGGCCACACAAATGCATGTTCTTACAAATCATGTGAAACAAAATCCTAGAATATCCTAAGCTAATTTATTCACAGATATCATCACAGTTTTAGTAGTACCCATGTACAGTATCAACCAAGACACCACTGGAGAGCAGTTCCACCGGGAGACAATGCCAAGGAACTTAGTGATGTCACCACCGATTGTACCCCTCAACAATGTGTCCTTCAGTGCGTTCCCTGGCCTTGCATTAGCAGTGGGACAATGACATCTACTGTCCCCCCGGCCCCCGGATAGGGCTGCGGCCTCCTACGGCAGCCTCTGTCCATTCACGGCACACAGGGGAGGTATGTGGCCCTGTGGAGCCCACGTCGTCCTGCTCAACAAGGGGCTTTATGCTGCTGCATGGGGGCTGCGCTGAACTGTGCTTAGCATTTTGGTCCCATCCCAGAACTTGCTGCGTGGATCTTGTCATACCCAGCCGGACACGGTCTGTGCCTGTCGGGGTACGCTGTTACCAGGAAATGTGATGAGCCATCGTATCCTCGTCCTGTGAAATCAGGAGGACAGAAGAGAAAAAAACATCCTAAGGCCGAAGAGACAAGATTTAACCCAGACGTGCTCACCATCTTCCACGCTGGCTGCCGGAGGAGACCCCCTACCTCTCCTCCACCTCAAGTTGGTCCTGCTCCACCATGGGTAACACCAGCATAACGGAGGGCAGGACAGCCCTCAGCCTGGGAAGCACGTCCATCAAGAGGGGCAAGACCAAGATCATGATGGGCAACTCCTCCATCTCTCGTGAAAGGGGCACCACATCCCTAGGAGGCTCCACCATCACCAGTGGCAAGACCAAGATCTCCCTGGGAGGTGCCTCCTTCAGCAGGGGTACCAAGACCACGTCTTTCCGAAAGGCACTCATGCCAAAGAGAAAGACTCTTTAATAAGAAGTAGAGCCGAATTGTCTGTGCAAATGTCTGCGGGGAGGGTGATGCGTACCAGGGTTGGGAGGTGGGGGGTTTCTCCAGCATGTCAAACACTGAAAATGTCAAAGAAAACTGAAACTATGGCACCATCACAGTGGAATTCTGAGGGGATTGTTTTGGGCATCGACCCACCAGGCTTTGTTTCATTTGTTTATTTTTTTCAACATCTGGAAAATTCAGGATCGAATTTGACAACAAGGTTTTTTCTGTTCCATTACATCCTTTAACCTCTGGATTAAGTCATGGATGCAGGTTAGTGAATCAAGAGTCTTGCTAAACGGGTTTCCAATGCAACAGGTGATGTTCTTTCAGTCAAAGTGAACCACTAGATCTGCTTGGCACACAACTACATATGCAGCAATGATTACTTACTTATTTGTTCAGGTTGTGTCTGTTTTTATTATCTTATGCTACAGCAAAGACTGAATCACTGATATACAAATTGGATTGATTATGGCATCTGATCTCGCTCTATAAATCCATGGAATACAGGGTGATCTAAACATAAGTGCCAACCTGCTTTGTCAGTTATGTTCTCTGAGTTTAGTCAACAGCATTACATTAAAAGTAAATGAGGCTCTTATTTGTCCCTTGAAAGGTGCACAATGTGAAGGCTTTGAAAGAGTGCAAAAATCCAAATACTTAGGGGGGGTATGCTGCTGTATATCCGTATCAACTGTGCTCTTCCACAGTGACAATAGAGGGTTCTTTACAGCAAGGAGCCCTTTATTCCACAAAAGAAATCCATGTAAATGATGGAGGCGTAAAAATGTAGGGCTCCAAGTTGGAGTGGGCAAACGCAATGCTAAATTACTGCCTTTCTGAAGAGCAGTTAGTTGAAAGGAGAGCTGGCACGCCTGAAATGCTAATTGGCGAATGTGGCAGCAAGATGCCCTTGGTACGATTTGACACTGAAAAACAAATGTACAGCTCCTTAACAAGTGGCTTTTGTGCTTCTGCTCTCGCCCACCTTGGCCACAAGCCAAAGGAAAGCCATGCTATGGCCCTTTGGAACACTCCCTCAGAAAGGCAGGTTATGGGATTTTAATGCACTTTAAGGCAAGTCTGTTCATCTTTTTTACTGCCCCAGCAGCCCTCCACATCTCATGAGCTTGTTGTTTAGCCTCTAATAGCATAAAAGTGCTGATTCTTAGTCTAGACTTGCTGTCTCTGCATCTCTTTGTCCCTGTTTTCCTCTCCTCCTTTGGTACAGTACTTTCATCCTACTTTTTCCCTCTCATACCCCATCTCTCTAATTGCCACCTGATGTCTTATTACCTTTCTCAGTGTCTTTATGTCTTTTTCAGTCAATATTTCTAAAACTCTTTTTTCCTCCCTCCCTCCCTCCCTGCCTCTCAGACGATGTCTCCACTCTTGAAGCTCAGCAGCAGACTTAGGATCAGTATTTAAAACTTTTCTCCAATTCTCCAACATTACAAATCAAGACTGTCCCAGGACCAGGACCCACATGCCAAACACTTCAGAGTAAATGTACTCAGAGCGGATGGAGAATTCTGCTAATACTCCTCAGGGGCCTGCATTTTACTATTTGACTGGCATGGGAACCTGCAGCATTGAGTTTTCAGTTTTCAATTAATGTATGAGGATGTTAAATGGCTATTGCATGTGTTGAGTAAATGGCAGATGTATGTGATTCTGAGGGTCAATGATGGCTGATAAGAGATGCTGAGGATGTGTTTGTTGATGGAAGTCTTCAAACCAGATCATGGTATGTAATATCCGAAGCATACCTTAAACCTGTAGTACTAATAGAGCTGTGCCAAAGGTAGAGTTGGTGCTGGACGAGTAGGGAGGGTTATAAGTTGGGACAATTCAGAAAGCAAGCAGTAATGGAACAGAGATTCTTCATCAAGAAAGAGACAGTTATGGAGAAGGTTTTGCACATTAAATGACTCTACATG